GCGCTCCTATAGTCCCAGCTACTTGGGAGGCTGAGGCAGGAGAAACGCTTGAACACGGAAGGCGGAGGTTGCAATAAGCAGAGATTGCGCCACTGCTCTCCAGCCTGGGTGACAGAGTAAGACTCCGTCTCAAAAAAAAGGTCATCTTGGTGTGCATTATTTGTGGATAGAAAATAATTTTCGTGAAGGCTTTTGCTTGATCATGCTTTACACTGCCAAAAGGCTTTTACTGTGACCCCATACTATCAAACTCGTCCCAACATCCAAACTGACATTTGTTGGGGGGAATTGTGTGTTTTACACACATAAAGGAAATGTCACTGGAAAAACTTATAGTATACTGAAAGCTCATTAACAATTTATAGACATTACATAAAAATGATAAGGGAGATGGTATACATCTGTATATTCACAGGGATTTAAGAAAGCTTCTGACACGTAATCCCAGGGTGTGGATTAACCTCCAAAATTAGCCGATGACTACTCAGCTTGGAATTTCATGTTCCAGAAATAACAAGCTGTGAAGTGTATACAGAACAGGCCCCAAATCCTTCTTTTCTTCCCTGACTCAAAGCTAAAGACAGCCAGTCTCAAGTGACTCCAAACCTAAATGCCTCACTGGGTGAAATTCTGTGGAGAATAGTATCAAATATCTTTCTGAGTTAATCCTTGCCCACTGCTTTAAATGAAGAATTTCTCACATTGGTATCTGGAGCTCCAGAGAAAAGACTACAAACTCTGCAGTCAAAGTGATGTGTGGTGTGTGTGTGTATTTTGAACCCATTTCTCTTGCCATGTGGTGGTAACAGAAAAGTCATCAGCTGGGGAAAAGGTATTAAGGTGCTAAATTGAGTAGTAATGGAAGGAAAGGATGGTGAAGCAACTATGGAAGCTGCAAAATAGTCTTCTATTTTATTTTTAAAAATTTATTGTTTACAGTCATGGAGTCACGCCATGTTACCCAGTTGGTGTCGAACTCCTGTCCTCAAATGATCCTCCCGCTTCAGCCTCCCAAAGTTCTGAGATTACAGACATGAACCACCACTCCTGACCTGCAGAATACTTTGTAATGAAAATTTTATAGAGATACGAGCAATACTTTTGATCAGAAGCCGAACTGAGTGTCACTGAGCCATTTGGTCAAACAGCACATGTCACAGCTTTTGGTATCACAGCGCTTTTCTTAGGCAAAGAGGAACCACTGAAAACCCTCCAGCACAAGAAAGAGCAGAGCCAGAGTGAGCTTCTGAGTCCAGCGTGAAATTACCTAAACCAATTATATAAGAAGAGCATGCCAATTAATATGTTCTACCCTGTCCTTCATCAAAACGGGGAATGCTGGAGACCGGAGTGGCCAGTAGATTTCTTTTTCCAGGCCATTTCTGATCAGATAGTCCTGTCTGCTCGAGCCGTTTTGAGACAGCTGTCTGAAGCTGTTGGCAGGAAGCAGCACTGCATCAACTTGCAGGGTCTTCTGTGTTTGGAGAAGGTTATGTTGCTGCACCTGCCACGCAGCTGCGATTGTTGAGCCAGTCCCACCCTCTCCATTTCACATCTGAGGGAACTCAGACTCACAGCATCAACTTACTTTGTTCGTGTGCATTTATTTAAAATCATCCAACTTTGGGAGGCTGAGGCAGGGGGATCGCTTGAGCCCAGGAGTTTGAGACCAGCCTGGGCAACATAGTAAGACCTCATCTCTATTCATTTAAAATAAAATCATCCATATCATGACATGTATGTTTGTCAGAACTCTGTTCTCTCAGCCAAAAAAATTTTGAAGCTACAATTAATCTATTACATTACATGATAATTCTGTTCTACCCAATTTAACCAATTCTGAGGGCCTGCTGTTTGCCCATGACTCATTCTTCCTCAGGAGTAGGAATAGAAGTAAATGTGGATCAGGCCAGGTGCAGTGGCTCATGCCTGTAATCCTACCATTTTGGGAGGCTGAGGTGGGAGGATTGCTTGAGTCCAGAAGTTTAAGACCAGCGTAGGCAACATAGCGAGAGCCCGTCTCTACAAAAAATAGAAAAAATTAGCTGAACGTGGTGGTGCATACCTGCAGTTCCAGCTACTTAGGAGTCTGAGGTGGGAAGATTGCGTGAGCCTGGGAGGTGGAGGTTGTAGGGAGCTATAATCACACCATTGCACTCCAGCGTGGGAGACAGAGTGAGACCCTGTCTCCAAAAAAAAAAAAAAAAGTAAATGTGGATCAGACACAATCCCCAACCTCAAAGGTTTGGCAACTTAATAGAAGAGACACATATCCAACCATAATTTTGATCAATGTTATATTTAGTAATTTGAAGCAATGAACCGTGATGCAGAGAGGCAGGAACAATTCATATTGTATCATATTTTAGAGAAGAGTTTATTGAAAAAGTTGTGTTTGATCTGAATCTTGAAGGATGAGTTGGTTTTGCTATATGGAGGAGAGTTTTTTTTTTTTTTTTTTTTTTTTTAAGTGTAGAAAATGAATAATGTGCTTTAAGGATATAGGGCTGTATGTGTGTGTGAGAGAGTTGGGCAAAGGAAGGAGCTGACTGAAGCCAGTATTCTTCCTTTCTCTCCCTTTCTATCATGTTCCCTACTCCCAAACCTCCTTATGATCATGTCCACAAGTCTAAGGAAATGAAATGCAGAGAGAACAATTGGAAAACGGAAGCATCATATGGGTCAGCAGCCAGGCTGCCTGTTCAAATCCCCCCTCTGCTGTTCCTGGCTGTGTGACTGGGCAAGTTCCTGAAACCTTCATGCCTTGGTTTCTTCATCTGGGAAATGAGGTTAAAAACACTATCTCATACCGTGGTTGTGAGAACTGAACTTACCAATGTATGCATAAAGCACTTAGAGCATTGCGTGGCTCATAGTCAATCTCTGTGTCAGCTGTGTTTATCAGGGTTATTGACGTCATTTGTACATGCAAAGTGGGCTGTCTGAAAGGGAAACAAGTGAAACCCAGTTCCTCTTTTGGGCAGAGAATGGTTTAAGTAGAAAAGCCTGGTCCAGCACCATAGCCACTGGCTACTGAGAACATGAGGAAGTAGTGAAGAATCCAGGCACCACGTACAGACCCGGAAGACAGGGTCCCAGGGAGAGGCCTCTCTGTGTAATCCACTCTCTGAGGGCTGCGAGGCTTAACCAGATATGGAACAGTCAGAAAAGGGGAGGCTTTCAGCTCTTGTCAGAAGTTTCCTTTCATGATTTGTATTATAAATTCTTCCAAGGCAAGAGCTGTGTTTATGACATTGAATAAAACACTTAAATATAACGATCGTTCAACACAATGATATTGCAGGCTGGGTGCAGTGGCTCACACCTGTAATCCCAGCACTTTGGGAGGTTGAGGCAGGTGAATCACCTGATGTCAGGAGTTCGAGACCAGCCTGACCAACATGATGAAACCCCATCTGTACTAAAAATACAAAAAACTAGCCGGGCGTGGTGTCCAGTGCCTGTAATCCCAGCTACTGGGGAGGCTGAGGCAGGAGAATCGCTTGAACCTGGGAGGCGGAGATTGGAGTGAGCCGAGATGATGCCATTGCACTCCAGCCTGGGCAACAAGAGTGAAACTCTGTCTCAAAAAAAAAGAAAAAGAAAAAGAAAAGAAAAAAACAAACAATGATATTGCTTCTAACAACATGCAAGAATGTTAGCAGGAAGAATGTTTTGCTCTCATCCTTCACAGACAGCCAACAAGAAAATCCCCAACACAACGCCTTCCTCTCTGTTACATCAACAGCGGTCAACTTTTTAAAAAGCTTATTTATGTATTTATTTGTTTGTTTTATTTATTTATTTTTAAAAAGCTTATTTGTTTTACTTATTTATTTTAAGACAGGGTCTCACCATGTTGCCCAGACTGGAGCGCAGTGGTGCGATCACAGCTCACTGCAGCCTCAACCTCTCAGGCTCAAGCTATTCTACCACTGTAGCCTCCAGAGTAGTTGGGACTACAGGTTTACACTCAGCTAATTTTTTGTAGTTTTTGTAGATTCAGGGTCTTGCTTGTTGCCCAGGCTGGTCACTAACTCCTGGCCTCAAGTGATTCTCCCACTTCAGCCTCCCAAACTGCTGGAGTTACAGGAATTACATGCATAAGCCACTATGCCTGGCCTAAAACCTTTTTAATTGTAATATAACATGCACAAAAAACCATTTTCTGCCCAAAAGAGGAACTGGGTTTCACTTGTTTCCCTTTCAGACAGCCCACTTTGCAATTTTTTTTTTTTTTTTTGAGACGGAGTCTCACTCTGTTGCCCAGGCTGGAGTGCAGTGGCACAATCTCGGCTCACTGCAACCTCCGCCTCCTGGGTTCAAACAATTCTCGTGCCTGAGCCTCCTGAGTAGCTGGGATTACAGGTGTGTGCCACCACGCCTGGCTAATTTTTTGTATTATTAGTAGAGAGGGTGTTTTCCCCATGTTGGCCAGGCTGGTCTCGAACTCCTGACCTCAAGTGATTTGCCCGCCTCGGCTTCCCAAAGACTGCACACTTTTATAAATGAATTGCTTTAGTGAATTTTTGTAGATTGCACACACCCATGTAACTGACACCCAAATCAATAAACATTATTGACACCCAAGAAGCCTCCTTCATGCGCCCCTGATTCACACTACTGATTTCTAGTAGCATTAATTAGTCTTTTCGCTTTTGTATTCTATATAAAAGCAATCATTCTGCTGCGCACTCTTTTGAAACTGGCTTTTTTAGGTAACATTATGTTACATGACGTTCAGCCATATTGTTGTGAATAGTCAACATTTTTCATGTAAGTTTATAGAGGAGGGGAAAGCACTTCATCAAGAAGTGTGATTGTATTGCTGGTATACTTTACATAAGCTAATATTATTTACATTTATTTAATCAATGCTGCTGCTACCCTCAGTGCTCTGTTTACAGGTGTTCCTGCAAGAACAAGAATTGTATATGTGTGTTTAATCATGACGTTGTTTATACTTCAGCTTACTTCATTTTGTTTCCGTTCTGTTATAGGTATAAAAACCAGGTGCCAATAAATGTCCATGCAAACCCTGGAAAGTACATTATTGAGAGTCGATATGGAATGCACACGCTGGAGATTAATGCGTAAGAGAACATCAGTGTCCATGTGTTGCTCAACATTGCTCAGGGAGGCGTCTCACCCCTGCAGTTAACAGCCCACTCTCCCCACTTCATCCCAATGCTGTGTGATCACAATGAGGGATATTCATATACGGTGCTTCTCTGGGTGCACACCTGAAAGTGATATGTATGACTGATTCTTACCATGCTCACACTACCTCCCAAAGTGATTTTATATTTGTATTTAGTCAAAGATGATGAGAAAAAAACCAATTTGCATATTTTTATTTATCTTTTTATATACTTGGGAATTTAGATGTAAGTAAGAAAAATATGTTGCATAAACAGGCTTTTATATCCAGTAATCATTTCGGAGTCCCAAATCAATATCATCATCACATTCTTTTGTTTTTAATAAGTAAAGGCCATGGAGATCCAGGTAGGTGGCATTGAATGTGGGCTAAACTTGGAGATAATGTTCTTTCCTTCACCTTGCCAGGAACCACGGGAAAGCATGTACTCTGTCAATCTGTGTATGTGAAGCAGGCTAGACACTGAGATGTTTGAGCTTAAAGTAAAATCCAAAGCAAAATTTGAAAATGAAACCTACATCAAAATTCCTAAGTTCCCAAATGTTTATTATGCCTCCCAAGATGATTTTGAAATTCAAACCTAATTAGGTCAATGAAAAAGCTAAACAAGCTCCCACCATTTTCAGTTTAGATAAAACCATGGTGTGCATAAATGTCAAGGTGAAATTTATATTATTTATTCTCAAGAGAAGTATAGCCTTTCCTCAGATCAGAGGAGTTGGCCAAGTGATACTAGGACCCTGTGACGTTTGCCAAGCACTGCCCCTGACCCAAGGTCAGGTCAGTTCTGCCAGTGGGTGGTTCTGCTGAAGCAGCAGTGAGCTATGTGGTTACTTTCAAAATTAAGTAGTTATGAGAAGGGCAACTGTATTTGCCTTCCTGGGGTTCTATTGATGTCTGTAAAATTTCAGCAAGAAAAAAAGTTTACACAAATGAATCTAAATCCTGAGAAACAATGAAGAACATGAGAAACTGGTCATGATAAGACGTAAAACAACCTGCTTTGAAACCTTAGCCTCTTCATCTCTCCATGAGACCCTTCTTCTCCCTAATGGTCCATTTTTATAAGAATTCCAATTTCTGTATTATAACTTAGAAGAACATCCAAATAGTGCTTCTTGTGTTATGCTGTGAGCTGAAACTCCAAGTATGGCCTGAACCTTAGTGGAAATGAAGTGTAAATAACTTAGATGGGCTTTGAAGCTAGAACACATAGACCAACCTGGCTCAGGGAGGTTGTGGAAATCTATACGGAGGGACTGCTTCTTTCTCTTCCCCATTGCCTGGTTGACCCCAGACTGAAACCCACCACAAGGGCAGGACAGCAGGAAAGTCACACCCTCCAGTGTGCCTCCAGGTAGTTACTTGATACAAAGGTTACATGCCTGCACATTTTCTCCTCCCAATGCAACTTTAGACAAGTAAGTAGATCACAATGCTGTTCACTCTGTAATTTATGTGCCTAGCACTTGGTTGACTTTTTTTTGTTTGCCATTTTAAATGAACCCAGGCTAGGGTCACAGTGAACGATGGTGTTCTCCCCAGTCTATGCTGCTGGCGTGAAACCACAGTAGATCACTTGGACTAATATCCCACAGGTAGCTAGATCAGAGACAGTAGCTGTACCAGGAGAACCAAAGAGCTGTGTGTTAGCCACTGATTCGCAGGGGGCTGTGATAGCAAAGAGTTCCCTGATAGAACAACTAGTAATTACAAGGATTGTCACTATGATGGATGTTCATTTCCATCTGTTCTTTCAGATGTGATTTTGAAGATACAGCTCAGTACCGGGCCTCGGCGATGAATGTTAAAGGAGAGCTTTCGGCATATGCTTCAGTTGTGGTAAAGAGTAGGTTTGCTAGATTTGTTTTCTTCAAAGTGTGTGTGTGTGTGTTTTAAATTTCTTCCCATCGTTTTAAAATAAATCTATCGCAAAGCAGTTCACATCCATTTCTGTTTTCTTCTCTAGGGTATAAGGGAGAGTTTGATGAGACTCGCTTCCATGCTGGGGTTTCCACCATGCCCCTCAGCTGTAAGTTTAAAAATTTACTAAGTGTCATTTACTAAGTGTCACCTCTATGTAAAATATGGCATAATAAGCTAGTCCATAATGCTGAAATAAATGCATACTATATATAACATAGTATATGCTAGGTTGGATATAGTAGATATCTGTGGTTATTTTATTTACTTTTTTAAAAAGATTTTTTGGTTACTGTTCTCTTTCTGAATCGAATTGCTTTGTGCTGGTTTTATGAAAGCCTAGATACGATGGGCTAAAAATGGCAAATGCTTTTACGTCTTTCTGGGTTAAACTGAGAAAGATCATTATACAAACCTGGGCAGAATGACTTCACCAAACACACACACACACACACACACACACACACACACACACACACGAGTCTGGACTATATCAAAGCACTCTTTCTCACCCTTAAATGTCCAGATGGGCATCACTTCCTTGAGAAAGCAGGTCTGACCCCCACTGCCACCCCTACACCCTACCCAATCAGGGTTAGGTGTCCTGGGTGAGGCCACGGCACCTCATCAGAGCATCAGTGAGGCTGGACCCTGTTATCCGTTGTGTGTCAGTCTCCCTCACTGGTCCAGGAGCCACTTGAAGGCAAGGTTGGGCCTGCCACAGAGTGGGTATTCAATAATGAATGAATAAATAAATGCATTAAGTTACAAAGTACAATCTAAAATGAAGTCTAAATGTGATTACATAAAAACCTACTAAAAATATTCTGATCAGTGGTTATCTGCAAATTCGTGAATGTCAGTCATTTCATTTACATCAGAACTTCTATTTATGAGAAGCAATAAAAGCAAAATCTATGGTTGCTGAAAGAATTATATACTTACAGTGGTCAGACTGAAAAAGGTAGTCAAGCCCTAACTTAGTTTTCAAACATGAAGAAATTAGTGGTAGTTTTGAAAATGGCTGAGATCAGTTTTTCACCTGCCTGGCTAGCTTGAGGTCTGTGGCTGACCTACTCCACTGATTTCATGCAATGGCTTCTCATTTAATGTCCCAAGTTGTGATCATTGGTGTCAGCCCCATGGGTGACAAGGGATGACTAGTAGAGCAACGGAGAAGCACATCCCAAATCATGTTCTTCTCCTGTCTCTTGATTTATGCTGAGATATAATAGTTGGGGCCAGGTGCGGTGTCTCATGCCCGTAATCCCAGCACTTTGTGAGGCCGAGGCGGGTAGATCACCTGAGGTCAGGAGTTCCACACCAGCCTGGTACAACATCGTGAAACCCTGTCTCTACTAAAAATACAAAAATTGGCCAGGCGTGGTGGTGCGCACCTGTAATCCCAGCTACTCAGGAGGCTGAGACAGGAGAATCTCTTGAACTGGGGAGGCAGAGGTTACAGTGAGCTGAGATCACGTCACTGCACTCCATCCTGGGTAACAGAGCGAGACTCTGTCCCCCCCCCCACAAAAAAGAATAGTTGGAAATTCTGAACCTATGACTTGTCTCCCAGTGTCCCCAGGAGTGGCCTACTGATCACTTCACAATCCTCTGAATGTAGCTTGTCCATTTCCACAGCCATATCGTGATCCATGTTTCTCCTTTTCCCCTCTTCTCTGTCAACGCAGGGACTGGAAGTCCAACTCACTCTCACTTCTCTTATTGCTCAGTCTTATAGAGCCTCCTCTCTGATGACCCCTGAATTGAATGCAGTTGTTTCTAACAGAAAACAGAGGGCTCATATTCACGTATTTGGTTACTATTTACTGAGCACCTGTTATGTGCTAGGTAGGGGTTTAGTTGCTTGGAATGTTGGTAGATGTCACAGACAAAGCTCTCTGCTCTTTTTTCTAATACTTAACATTTATGGATCAGTTCTGCCAGACAATGTACTAAGACATTTTTGTACACATTGATTCATTTAATGTTTCCCGAAAGCTTATGAAGTAGTCGCGTTTCCATCTGTGCTATGCTGATGAGGAAACAGTTTAGAGAAGACCACACAGAGTGGTAGAATAGGGATGTATAACTTGGTCTTTTTAATTCTAAACCATTATTTCAAACAAGGAGTCACCACACATTTTCTGTAAAGGACTAGACTGTAAATATTGTAGGCTCTATGAATGAGCATGACTGTGTTCCCATAAAACCTTCTTTATGAACATTGAGGTTTAAACTTCCTATGACTTTTCATGTCACAAAATATTGTGCTTCTTTTTATTATTTTCAACCACCAAAACATGCAAAAACCATTCTTAATGGTTTAAACAAGAGGCATTTCTAGATTTGCCCCACAGACTTGCCAACCCCTGCCCTAAACCACATTTCCCAGGATAGTGAGTACATGTGATAAAAGATTGAGGACATGACAACAGAATGATGTGTTGTCTTCTGGTTGTTAAACTGGGGTGCCTTCTACTGAACTCCAAAGTTATCGCAGACAGTCCAGTCCAGTCTCAAATACAGAAGAGAACCTAGAAGTTAGGTCCATTTCTAGGAGACCTGCTTGCCTTTCCAGCTGGGTCTGGAATGTCTGACGGTAGCCCTCAGCTCTACCCCCTAAGGCAGCTCTGGAACCAGCCCAGCCTCCCAGCACTGTGCAAGATCTGTCAAGTTGTTTCTCTCTCTGGTCTCAATGAACATCAACACATTAAAGTGAGGCAGATGGGAGATGTGCTTCCAAAGAGAAGTTATTTCGCTGTTGATTAGGGTTACCTGGGAACACACAAAATCAAGACAGTACGATGTATTGGCCAAGAGCACGGAAACGGCCAGCTGGTGCAAATCTGGCTCTGCAGGGGAATGTGGTCAGTTATTTTACCTTCCTATGCATCAGTTTCTTCTTCTATAAAATGCAGATATTAGTGGTACTTACCTAATAGCATTATTATGGGGCTTGTGTTAATAGGTATTAAATGCTTGGACCAATACTTGGTCAAAGTTGAACTCAGTAAATGTTAGCTTGCATTTTCAAGTGCAATGAAAGAAGTCTTAGGAAGAGGGACAAAATATATGAGAAAAGGCCTAAGTTTTGGAATGGAGAAGTTATGAGTGTGAATTTCAATTTCACATATGCTACCTGTGAAATTCTGGCATTAGGTGTGTGTTACTTTTGTGAACTTCCATATCCCCACCTGAAAGAGAGGAAGAAAATAATATCTACGGCATAGAGTTGTTGCAAGGAATTGATGATATGTCAAATGTGAAAGTGTCTGGCATGTAATAACCCATCAATAAATAGTCATTTCTTTCCCAAGTTCTTTCTTTGGTGAAAAAAGGAAATAAAACCTAGGAGAGTTGATTATGCAGGCTGCATTTACTCAATCTATAAATAAGATATTTCTGAGAACAATATTTTTAAAAGTTAGAATATTTTAAACTTTTCCATTTTCTCCTGTGGACATTTCTTATAATATTTATTACTCAGATCACTAAAGAAAATGAAGCAACTTATTTTAAAACTCCATTAAAATTATTTAACTAAAATTATTTTTATTTTTATGGATACATAGTAGTTGTACATATTGATGGGGTACATGTGATATTTTGATACAAACATACAATGTGTAATGATCAAATCACGGTAATTGGAGCATCCATCATCTCAAACATGTCTTATTTCTTTATATTAGGGACGTTCCAATTCCACTCTTTCTGTTGTTTGAAAATATGCAATAAATTAACTGTAGTTGCACTATTGTGCTACCACACACTAGATCTTATTCCTTGCATCTAATTGTGTTTTTGTACCCATTAACTAACCCGTCCTTATTCCCCCTTGCACTAAGCTTCCCAGCCTCTGGTAAGCATCATTCTACTCTCTATCTCCATGAGTTCAATTCTTTTTAGCTCTCACATGTGAGTGAGAACACATGATATCGGTTCTTCTGTGACTGGCTTACTTCCCTTAACATAATGTCCTCTAGATCCATCCATGTTGTTGCAAATGACAGATTTCAATTTTTTTTTTTTTTTTTTTTTGCTGAATAACATTCCATTGAGTATAAGTACCACGTTTTCTTCATTCATTCTGCCATGGATGAACACTTAGGTTAATTTCACATCCTGGCCTATTGTGAAAAGGGCTGCAATAAACATCGGAGTGCAGATGTCTCTGCTATATACTGATTTCCTTTCTTTAAGATATAAACCCAGCAGTGGGATTGCTGGATTATATGGTAATTTTTTTAGTTTTTTGAGGAAACTCCATACTGTTCTCCATAGTGGTTGTACTAATTTACATTCCCACCAACAGCTCAAGAGGGTTTCCTTTTCTCCACATCTTTGTCAGCATTATTGCCTGTCTTTTGGATACATTTCAATTGGGGTGAGATGATATCTCATTGCAGTTTTGATTTGCATTTCTCTGATGATTAGTGATGTTGAGCATTTTTCCATATACCAGTTGGCCATTTGTATGTCTTCTTTTTAGAAATGTTCATTCAGATCTTTTGCACATTTTTAAATTGGATTACTTGAATTTTTTGCTATTGAGTACTTTGAGTCTCTTGTATATTCTGGTTATCAATCCCTTGTCAGATGAAAAACTCCATTTTTATGAATAATGGATATGGCTATTTTGTCCCAAGAGTACAAGCAGTAGAGTTTAAATTAACTCAACGTCTAAAATTACAAAGTGCATATGTTGCAGCTAAAGATTTAAGTCTAGGTTAAAAGTGGTATTAATTTGCATTTAAGACATTAAACCTGACTCTTTAAATTCTATTCATTACGATAATAAAAATAAGCGTTTAGCTTTTATAACCAATGAAGCAAGAATTTCCATACAAATTATATATGCATATGTTCTAAATACTTCTTATATAGAGTTTCATTTTGACCCAGATAAATCATTTGCTCATATGTTCTTTTTTTTTTTTTTTTTTTTTTTTTTGCTGTGACTGCTTTCTGCCTGTGCTTGTTAAACTGCTTGTGTCTCTTTGATGAAGAAAAAAATTACAGATATTTGTTATTTTTGTACCCAGTTGCTGTGACCCCGTATGGTTATGCATCCAAATTTGAGATCCACTTTGATGACAAATTTGATGTGTCTTTTGGGAGAGAGGGAGAGACAATGAGTCTAGGCTGTCGCGTAGTCATCACTCCTGAAATTAAACATTTCCAGCCAGAGATCCAGTGGTACAGAAATGGTGAGTCTTTACAATGAATGCTCACTTAGGTTCTTATTCGAAGAAGGTTGTAGACCAGATTGCAGATCTGTTTATCAGAGCTGACGGAATCTGGAAGTTAGAAGGGACTACCTTTACACGATTAAAAGATTTTTACATATATAGCAAAGTAGCAACACTTTCATATTTGTGGAGATGATATTTTCCTTTTAGCAAGTAAGATGTGGAAAGAATTATAAAGAATGTATATTATACTGGGCATGGTGGCTCATGCCTGTAATCCCAGCACTTTGGGAGGCTGAGGCGGGTGGATCACCTGAGGTCAGATGTTTTAGACCAGCCTGGCCAACACGACGAAACCCCATCTCTACTATACAAAAATTAGCCAGGTGTGGTGGTGCCCGCCTGTAATCCCAGTTACTCAGGAGGCTGAGGCAGGAGAATCACTTGAACCCAGGAGGCAGAGGTTGCAATGAGTGGAGATGGCGCCATTGTACCTGGGCGACAGAGCGACTGTCTCAAAAAAAAAAAAAAAAGGTATATTCATTTTGTAAGTTAACCCATTTGGTAAAATACCCATCCTCATAGACTTATTTATACCACAAAAATGGTATGTAACTTTAAAAAACATAACCTTATGAAATAATAAAATCCTGATATTATTATTAATTAACCAGAAGAGTACATTCAGAAAAATTTCAGACTCTGGCACTTTTGTTTTAATGTATTAAAGGCTTTTTATAATTTTGAAATTTTTGATAAGTATATTCTGCATGCAATATATCCAAGTTATACTGATGTCCCCTAAGGACACAAAAATAGATAAAATGATCCTTTTGTTTTACATTATATTATAACAGGCTGGTAGAACAGAAAGAAATTCCTTCCATTGTCAGTTCCTCTGACTCTGGCTTTAAATCACAATTTGATCTCACTTTGCTTCAAACGGGCCTAGAGCCATGATACTTTGGTGTGAGAAAGAAATAAGGATTTAATTAAGCACTTTGGGAGGCGGAGGTGGGCAGATGACCTGAGGTCAGGAGTTTGAGACCAGCCTGGCCAACATGGTGAAACCCTGTCTCTACCAAAAACTACAAAAATTAGCCGGGCGTGGTGGCGCACAACTGTAGTCCCAGCTACTTGGGTGGCTGAGGCAGGGGAATCGCTTGAACTCAGAAGGCAGATGTTGCAGCAAGCCAAGATTGCGCCATTGCACTCCAGCCTGGGTGACAGAGCGGGACTCCATCTCAAAACAAAACAAAATAAAAAACATAAAATAAAATAACAATAAATCTTAGGTCCAAATACACTAAGTTTCCATAGTAGAGTATCTCATAGAATAGACCAAGATATAGAAACTGTCTGAAGAGAATAAGGGATTGCCCCAAATCACACAGTCAAATTCTTGCCACAGGAGACCTCCAGACCTGCTGGTGTTTACTCTAAGCCTGGAGATCTTTTCACTACCATGTGTCTCCTTTTATATTGTCTGTATTAGGTCTAATATAGACAAAAAGCCTCATGAGAAAATTTGTACTTTCTCTGACCTGTCTGCCTCCCTTTATGCCTGGGTATTGAAAAAAGCATTGAAATTTAAGAAACTGAATTTGCCCCTACATACATAGTTATCTGCGAGGCCTATGCTAACTCCTAGCTAATAGAAAATGTGTCGTGGAGAGAGCAATGAGTAAGGCCTAGGGACTTTCATCATCCCTTTTAATTTATCTTAAAGTTTTCACTATGTTTATTTATAGAGAGGATTATATTTTAAAGCTCTTAAAAAACTGTAAAATTCCAGACACATACAGTAGGATACTAGTAAGATTATCATATAATTTTTCTGTTTAATTGTTTTAGAAAATAAATTTTGGAAAAATACAGAGAAATGAAAGAAAAAATTGTTAATGATAATGCTTTGTGGTATTATCCTATAAGGTACTTTATTATTATTATTTGTATTACTATTTATTATTCAAAGTCCATTTTGTTCAGGTAAAAAAACAAAGGAACAGAGAGGTTAAGTAATTTGCCTGAAAGTTACATAATTAGTTAGTGAAAGAGATCAGACTGAGCTGGACATGGTGGCTCAGGCCTGTGATCCCAACACTTCGGGAGGCCAAAGTGGGCAGATCACTTGAGGTCTGGAGTTTGAGACCAGCCTGGCCAACCTGGTAAAACCCCATCTCTAATAAAAAAAAAAAAAAGAAAGAAAGAAAAAGAAAAGAAAAAAAAATTAACCAGGCATGGTGAGGCATGCCTGTAATCCCAGCTACTCAGGAGGCTGAGGCACGATAATTGCTTGAACCCAGGAGGCGGAGGTTGCAATGAGCTGAGCTCACACCACTGCACTCTAGCCTGGGTGACAGAGCGAGACGCCGCCTCCAATATAAGTTAAAAAAAAAAAAAAAAAAAAAAAGACTTGAGATAGAAAGAGATCAGACTGAAATATAGGTCCTCTCCGGAGCTGACTTTTTGGGCCTGTGAACGGTGCCATCTTACAGGACCAAGATATCTGGGCTTCGTTTAATGCTCTGCTGTCACCCTCTTGAAGTTCGTGATCACTTTATCTTTGACCTTGTGTTTTATACATGGAGTCCAATGGGACTATGGCACATGCACACGATAGGAGGAAATATGGCAATGGCAGTTCAGACCCATGTAGATACGGGATCCCGGGCACAGTGGGCAGTGGGTAGTGGACAGTGTGAGCACCAGGCAGCAGGCGTGGTCTTCAGGTGTGCACATGAGCACTCGGGGCAGTCTGTGGCACCATGGCATTCCAAGGTGATGGCAGAGACCAGGACCTAGGGCCAGACTGGAATTAGCAATGATGGTGGCCCCAGCAGCAGCAGCAACAGCAGTGGTGTTGGGTCCCATGGCTGCAGAGGAGAGAAGAGGCTCGGTGTGGAGGCAGCATGGGGACACACAGTGTGGGGCCAGCTTGCCCGGCCTTCCCCAGGACTCAGGTCTGTGGGATCTGCACAAATATTAACTCCTGGCCTGAGCATGGGGACAGGAACTGCTGGCGACAGGACAGTAAACTTTGTCAGTCAAATATTATAAAATAAAAGTGTACATGTAGACACTGCAATAAAGCACGTAAGACAGTTATTAGAATTCTTCAAGGAGTTTCGAATCTCCGGTTTTGAGGCTTAGAATTAGAAGTTAAATTTAAAGATGGTAGCATTTGATGGAAAAGAACATTTTCATATGAAACTTTGGATGAGCCTATTAACAAGGAAGACCGTTTTAAAATTACCACTTATAATTGAAGATACAGTAATGGAATACATAAACAGACATCCTGAATTTTATACAAATCATGAAATCATGTTTGGCTTGTAGTATCACTTCCACAAGTTAAAGCCATATTGGACAAAGCATTAAAAGGAAACTGTATAAATTCACACTTAAAATTAAATTGAGATTTACATGAAACTGATTTGTATGAAGAGTTAAATCTTCTTAGAATAATTACCCCTTTATTCTAGATTCGAGATTGTCCCTTTATTCTAGATTCTAGAATCTGGAGTCATCAGTTCTAGATTACTAAAATTTGTATTTTGAAATAGTTTCTCAGAAAGTTAACCCAATGTTGTCATAGCCTATATAACTTCCTTAACAGCTCCAGTAACAGTTACATCAGCAGAAAGGTCTTCCTAAAAAAATGATGGAAACACATTCATGAGCTTGCATTTATAAAGAGTGACTGATACTGCTTTTGATTATTTGATTTAAAATAAAGTTGCTACAAGTATGAATTTTGATGACTAATAAATGAATTTGCAGAAAAGCAGACCAGCAATATCTTATTATCAATCAAGGTCTCCCTACTAGTAACGTATTATTATTGATTGCATATACAATTATGGCACAAAAGTATGATTTTTTGCAACTTGTATTACCCCTATTATATTCTTGTAAGTAATAAAATATTTTTTAAAGGAATAAGACATATTTTAGCACCTTTAATTGCACTTTTTCTCTGCTTTTAGAACAAGGGCGCTTATAATGTAATTTTACACCAGGCCCCTGCAGATTATGTGTCTGCCCCTGATCCCCTTACTTTTGGTCCAGTATTTTTACCAATGTAAACGTATCAGAATGTCTCAAAGTCCTAGAGACTTCCTCTAGTAGTTAAATCACTTTCAATATAGAAAAGGCTAAGGAGAGGAATGGAAGGGGTACAAGAAGGAAGTAATAAAAATAAGTTAATTTGCTTACTTTTAAAATGTTTCTAGGAGTACCTCTTTCACCATCGAAATGGGTGCAAACACTTTGGAGTGGAGAGCGGGCAACACTGACATTTTCCCATCTCAACAAAGAAGATGAAGGCCTCTATACAATCCGTGTACGGATGGGAGAATATTATGAACAATATAGTGCTTATGTCTTTGTTCGAGGTAAGTCCTAGCAAAAAACCAAACACCTAACAATATGTAGTACACTGAAGCCAAAACAGTTTTTGATTACAAAACAGTTCAAACATGTTTCATAATGATGGAAGAGTCATTTCAAAATTCTGGCCAGGTGCAATGTCTCATGCCTGTAATCCTGGCACTTTGGGAAGCTGAGATGGGTGGATCACTTGAGCTCAGGAGTTCGAGACCAGCCTGGGCAACATGGTAAAATCTCATCTCTACAAAATATTAGCTGGGCATGGTGGTGCATGCTTGTAGTCTCAGCTACTTGGGAGGCTGGAGTGGGAGGATGGCTTGAGCCTGGCAGGCAGAAGTTCCAGTTGGCTGAGATTGTGCCACTGTGCTCCAGCCTAGGTGACAGAGTGAGACCCTGTCTCAAAACAAAAGCAAAAAAAAGTAGACCTAGTTAAAAGGTGAGCCCTGAGGACACCAACTCAAAAGTCACCATTTTCCAGACCATGTTTCCATCATTAATATCAGGACTTTCTTCATCTTCAGGGAGCCACTAGTACAGTTCCCTATGACTGTTCAGGTGGAGATGCTAAATCCTAATGATACCCGCCATCTCAGTTTAAAGAAGCTGCTGCAGAAGAGGGATCTGTTATTTTGGGTGTAAGTCTTTAATATGTATTTCAGAGAGTAAATGTATTATTTCATTTCAGGTCCCTTGGCCCATAACTGAACTTTGTAGCCTCTGTTTTGGTGAACTAGGAAGCAGGGAGTTTCAGCTTAATTCTTGAGACAAACCATAATCGTTGAGTTGACTTTAGGAGTCTTTCTATTTTTTCAGTGTTTTTTTTTTTTTTTTTGAGAGGGAGTCTCGCTCAGTCACCCAGGCTGGAGTACAATGGCGTGATCTCGGCTCACTGCAAGCTCTGCCTCCCGGGTTCACGCCATTCTCCTGCCTCAGCCTCCCGAGTAGCTGGGACTACAGGTGCCAACCACCACGCCTGGCTAATTTTTTGTATTTTTAGTAGAGACGGGGTTTCACCATGTTAGCCAGGATGGTCTCAATCTCCTGATTTCATGATCCACCTGTCTCGGTCTCCCAAAGTGTTGGGATTATAGGCCTGAGCTACTGCGCCCGGCCTTTTCAGTGGTGTCTTAAATGGATTGGATATGTACACGTGGAATATTATTCCTCCTTGGGATCCTAGCACTTTGGAAGACCATTAGCACTTTTTCGCTACCAGGTAGTGTTCTGTGTTTTCTTACGGGATGATTAGTCAGATGCAGTCATTAGAAGAGATCCAGGAGAGGCACAAGAAAACAACGTGTATGATACTCACAGGTCCTAGAACAGGAACAGCAGGGCCACATGGGAAAGTGCCAGTGTCAGTCATGAGTCAGAAGGGGCAAGAGGAGCAAAGGAGTGCCTAGACCAAGGCCTTTATTGGAGTTTCCTTGGGAAAGGAAAGTAGGGCAATTAACAAGTTAGGATTGGCTAGTTCAAATAATTTCAGTAGGTTGTAAGTTACAGGTGTGGTCCCTACTTGTCTGGTACCTGGCCCCAGGGATGATTAAGGCAGAGCAATATTGGTTCCTGGGTTCTACAGGCCAGATAAAGGAGGTGTGGCTGAAGTGGTTAGTTTGCATATCAGTCATGCTCCCCTCTGGGCCCTAAGAATTGGCTCGCCTCAGGAAGGCAGGCCCTTGTTAGTCAGAAAGGTGTCTAAGATGTTAAAGCATCATAATATAGAGAAAATTTAAAATAGAAACAATGCAGGTAGACTAGCTCATTTTTATCTGTCATGCACTAAATAGCATCATAAACTCATAAACATTTCGAGTACTCCGCTGGGATCCACAGACTTCCAAAGGGTCTGTGATTAGAACTGTATTTCAATATAATTAGTTTTTTTGGTAATCACATACATTTTATTTATGTGTTTAAATGCATTACTCTCAGAAGGACCTCTAGGCTTTACCGGCTTGTCAAAGGGGTTGATGACTCAAAAAATGTTAGACTTCTCATCCGAGTACAACCCCTTAATTTTAAGATGCAGAAACTGAGGTTCAAAAAAGTACCAAATTTACCAAAAACTTACCAAATTTACCAAAAACTTCAGTTAATTAGAAGCAGAAGTGGAACTAGGTTGTAGGTCTTCCAATGGCTAACCCAGGATTTTAATTAGGATCTAGACTAAGCTGCTGAAATGAAATAACAAAAGATTTGTTTCTCTCCTCTATATGAAAGTTGTGTATGATCCTGATGCCTCTTCCCAGATCCCCTCTATGTTGTTATTGCACTGTGCCTGGGGTACTGTCCCAGGTTCCCATCCCAGCCTATGGGGAGGGGAAAGAAACGGAGTGGAGGGGCAGAGGCCGAATTGCACTCATCACTTCTGCTTGGTGCACACTTAGCACATGCAGACACTTCACAGTGAGGGGAGCTAGGATGTACAGTCTCTTGTTAGCCAGCCATGTTTTCTGCTAACGCTCAGGGGTCCTAGTACTAAAAGGAAACCGGAAGAATGATTACTGGGGACAGTTAGCAGGCCATACCACATCAGCATTGAACAATACAAATGATCATTGAATTCTGTCCCAGACCGGCAACTGGTACAGATATCTGAATATCTATACCATCTGAAAAGCGTGTCAGGCGTTCTCCGCCACAGAGGCATCATGAAAAAGTCTGTATCGTCAGGGAAGACAGGAGCTGGCCTTCTGGGAAAATTGCAGTGAGAACCAACACTGCAATTAGCAAGTGTGTTCATTTAGCCAAATTGCCAGGATAAACCTGGCTAGATGAGGATGAACTAAGCTAAGTCTTTGCTTCCGCTTTCCGTTGTTTTACCAGAGTCAGAGAACATCGCTGGCTATTCCAAAAATCTTTGTCATGCTCCTTCCTTCGTTAACTTTTTCTGGGAACTCTGACCTAGTCTAGGGTTCCTCAGCGTTTCTCAGTGCCCACACCCAGAAAGGTGCCTCTTTGCCAGGTTTAGGCCAGACTTCATGTTACTAACTATGGACGAGGCAAAGGTGTTCCAATTTAAAATTTACACTCAAGCCAGCTTTCAAATCCACAAATTAAGGAAATGGAAAGATTCTCAGTTTGTCAGAGGTTGATGTAAGAGAATTGAAAAGATAAATGGAAAAGACAAAATTGGAAAGGTAAATTTCAGAATTGCACTGTGAATTTTACAATCTTTAGAGAAAGATTTCACTTATAAATTTATTTTAAATGATATATATTAGGTTTTTAAAAACATATTTTTGAGATATAATTTACATGCCATAAAGTTCACTCATGCTAAGTTACAATTTGGTGCTTTTTAGTTTATTTACAGAGTTAGACAACCATTACCCACACTCCACTTTTAGAAAATTTTGACCATGTACAATGGCTCATGCCTGTAATCCCAGCACTTTGGGAGGCCAAGAAAGGAGGATCTCTCGAGCCCAGGAGTTTGAGACCAGCCTGGGCAACATAGCAAGACCCCATCTCTACAAAAACTGAAAACAATTAGCTGGGCGTGGTGCATGCCTGTGGTCCCAGCTACTCAGGAGGCTGAGGTGGGAGGATTGCTTGAGTCCAGGAGGTTGAGGCTGCGATGAGTGGTGATTGCACCACTGCACTCCAGCTTGGGTGGCAGAATGAGACCCTGTCTCAAAAAAAAAAGGAAAAGAAAGTGAGAGAGAAGAAGAAAAGAAGGCAGGGAAGGGAAAGGAAGGGAAAGGAAGAAGGAGGAGGAGGAGGAAGAGGAGGAGGAGGAGGAGGAGAAGGAGAAGGAGAAGGAGAAGAAAAAGAAGAAGAAGAAGAAGAAGAAGAGAAGGGAAAAAGAATGGAAGAAAAAGAGAGGGAGAGAGGGAAGGTAGGGAAGGAAGGAGGGAAGGAGAGAAGGAAGGGAAGGAAGGAAAAGAAAGAAAATTTACATCAACCCAAAAAGATTTCTCCTCCCTATTTCCCTCTTCCATACCCAGTCTAGCCCCCTGCAACTACTAATTCACTTTCTATCGCTATAGATATGTCTTTCTGGACATTTCTGGATCTCTATGGTTTTTTATGTCGGCCTTCTTTGGCTTTACGTGTTTTGAGGTTCATTCATGTTGTAACACCTATTATTCCTTTTTCTTATTAAATTGCATTCCAATACATGGATATGCATCCTTTTGCCTGTATGTTCACCCACTGATGGACAGTGTGATTGTTTTTACTCTTTGGTTATTATAAACATTTGTGTTCATATTTATAGGCCTTTATCTTCATTTCTCTTGGGTACCTACCTACAAGTGGAATTGCTAGGTAATTTGTGTTTAACTTTGTAAGAAACTGCCATTGTTTAAATAATATATATATATTTTAAACTTTGTATTCATTGAGCTGCATGAGGTCACTTCAGGGCATTGTTTTGGAGCTCTGATATTCTTGCAGCTTAGAAAATAGCTTCCACACCAGAATGATCAGTGTATAAAGCACCATATGTCTGCAGAAACACATTGTAAAGAGCTGTACACATTTGGCCAAGATTTTATTACACAGATAATATGTGTTCATTGTGAAAAAATAGATAATATAAATTTAACAAATAAAAAGTAAAGCCATCCATAAGTCTACCACCCACAGGTATCCAGTGTTATCATTTTATTACGTATTCTTTGAGGTTTTGATGTATTTTTTCCTTCTCTTTCTCTTTTCTTTTTTTTCACACACTCTCTCTCTCGCTCTCTCTCATGCAGAGAGAAAAGAGGCAGAGAAATAATAAAGTGATAAAGGATGTCATTAAAATGTCATGAAAGAAGAATTGAAAATGGCAAATAGGTATATGAAAAAATTTTCATTAGTAATCAAATCAATGAAAATTCAAATGAGGCTGTGGGCACAGTGGCTCACACCTGTAATCCCAGCACTTTGGGAGGCCCAGGTGGGAGGATCACTTGAGCCCAGGAGTTCAAGACCAGCCCAGGCAACATAGTAAGACCCTGTCTCTACAAAAAATTAAAAAATTAGTTGGGCATAGTGGAGTATGCCTATAGCCCTAGCTACTTGGGAGGCTGAAGAGGTAGGAGAGCTTGAGTCTGGGAGGTCAAAGCCACAGTGAACTATGATTGCCTCACTGCACTCCAGCCTGGGAAACAGAGTGAGACCCTATCTCAAAAAAAAAAAAAAAGAAAAAAAAAAAAAGAAAGAAAAAAAAGAAAATTGAAATGAGATTATTTTTCCTATCATATTGAAAAGATTTAACGTTTTTTAAAATCCACTGGGGTAAAGAAGGAACAACACTGCTACAGTGGCTGGTGAGTATAAATTGATTTAACTTTTCTCAGGGTCTTTGCCACTAAATATCAAAAACACACATTTCCAACAATTCTAGTTCTAAGAGGACAGAGGTGAAAAAAACGTTTGGGGGAAAATTGAAAGAAATATAGATATTCACCAATATGCAAGTTATAGAATAAAGTATAATAGATGCTCCATGAAACAATGACATACCACACAGCAATGAAAACCAGTGTCTACCCACATGTATTGATATGGAAATATATCAAGAAAAAACAGCTTACATGAAACTACATAGTAAAATCACTTTGTTTCAAAAATAATCATTTCTGAGTTTATAAATATAGAAGAAAGTCTAGAAAGATTTAGGCCAATATGTTAATAGTAGTTATCTCTGGGTTATAAAAAAGGGATTTTAACATATTTTTTGATTATCATACAGTTCACATAAAATATATATAATACTTTTACAATAAAGACAATAGAATTACTTACATTTTGCAAAAAGTTTTTAATAGTCTGTGTTAGAGGTCAAAATATAAAGAGTAGTAAGCTAATCTTTGACCTAATAATCAAACTTACAAAAGTTTGGCTATTTGAAGGGCTGGGAGAGGGAAGGGCAGAGGCGTAGAAGAGGATTAATGTTGTCTGAAGGGTGCTGTGGGCCCCACCCTGTGTAGCAGCTGCTAGAAGCCAAATACTATGATTCCTTGCTTCACAGTTGTCGCTTGTCATCCCAAGTATGTTTTGCTTCTCACACTATATTGTAGCTTCTTGAGAAAAAGGTTATTATTATTATTATTATTATTTGGAGACAAGGTCTTACTTTGTCACCCAGGCTGGAGTGTAGCGGTGTGATCATAGCTCACTGCAGCCTCTACCTCCCAGACTCAAACAATCTTCTTCTGTCAGCCTCTCAAGTAACTGGAAACACAGGCCCGCACTTCCACACCTGGCTATTTTTTTTTTAATGCATAGAAACAGGATCTCATCATGTTGCCCAGGCTGGTCTTGAATTCCTAGGCTTAAGTGATCTACCTGCCTCAGCCTCCCAAAGTGCTAGGATTACAGGCGTGACCCACTGCACCCAGCTAGGATCCTTATTTTTTAACTTTTGCGGTTAACACCTAGAAGAGCACTGAATGAATGAACAAATGAATGAGCGAATGAATGCCTGAGTAACTTGGAAGATTGTCAAGCCCACCTCAGTTCCAAGCAATGCTATACAAATGCTGAACAATGGCTCCCTGAATGCCCACTGTCTGCCAGGCTCCACAACAGCGTATTCCTGCCATCGGGCCTCTAAGCCATGGATGCCCAGCTCACTAAACTCTGCTCTATCAATTCAGGGGCTGCTGGTTGTTGTGCTATAGGCCATTAGCAAAGGACATGGCTAGAGGTTGCCAGCTGTCCCCCTTGTAGCTGAGTGGCTTTCTAGCAATGCCTTTTTTTCAGCCCAAGCATGTCAGCCTCAGCATCCCCACCTCCTCTGCAGCTCTGCTCTGCCTTTGCCATCAGCAGCACCACCCTCTGCCATCCAGTGCTCTGAAAGTCTGGAAGGAAAGACGTGTCTCCTCATCAAAATGCTCGTTTCCCATTGAGTGCCATGCAGAGATTCTGCATTAAGTTTTAGGCACAATGATTTAGTTACATTCTCCTATAGCACTTCTGCAGGAGATATCTGCCTAGACGCTTTCCTGCTGGTTCACAGAGCAAGAGACAGAATGTTCAAAACCCAAGTGGCTTGAGCTCTTCACAGGTAATGCAAACCTGTTAAATGCAGTAGACAAATGTTTCTGCTATGTTATCAAATGTCCTTGTAACTCATAAGAGTTACAGAATGTAGATCACAGGAAAAGAAAGTGTTTGTTTGGTTGACATGGGTGCTTTCCCTTGAGTGAGTGGCTCCCGCATGTCTCGCCCTCTTCTACTAACTCCGTTTATGAAAGCGTTGGTCAAATGCCAGGAGGAATTGGCAAATAGGGGCCTCCGCCCCCAGGGACCCTGCCTCTTGTCTTAATTATTCTCACTTAAAAGGTTGCTAACTGAATATTTTCATTCCCCCTTTTCTCCCTCCTATAAACAGCCCTGATTCACTAATTTAGCTGTGCCTGAGGGGCTGCGTGGTCAGGGGATCCCATTTCATAAAAAGGGATTGTACTGTTTCTTGTATTATCCTGGACTTTTACTAAACTCAGATAAACTAAGCTCAGATGTGAGTATTGCATTGGAGTTCTTTTCCTAAGTGTCTTCAGTTTGGTGGCAATCATTTGATTAAAACAAATGTTTTCTCTTTCAAAGTGGTAGTGTCTTGCCTAGGGACTGGCCAAGCTCTATGACTCGTATTTTCTTGCCGATGCCTCCAGAAGGGGCATTTGTCCCTCTTGGGAGCCTTTCTTAGTTTTTTCTTAGCAACATTGCACAATCAGTGTCATGAGAACTGACTTTCTGGCACAACTGACTTGTGTGCATGCAATCTTCAGCATCTCTATATTAATTTTCTTTTGGAACATTTTGGGCTAGAAGGACCATGAGACAAAGGTCATGGGTTCTTTTCAGAGCACTTTCTATTTTCTGACCCAATGTTCTTCCTGCCGAAGGTGAAAAACACACATGTTGGTCAACAAATAGCAAGATTTGATGCTTGCTGTGTTGGGGCCAAAGATGGAGCCACTGTGATGATGTGGTAAGAAGTGTGTGCACTGAGACCTCTGGCTGCCGAGCTGACAGCATGTCTGAGAGGGTTAATGGGATCCTTCTCTCTCCACAGATGCTGATGCAGAGATTGAAGGAGCCCCAGCTGCTCCCTTGGATGTGAAGTGCTTGGAGGCCAACAAAGATTATATCATCATCTCTTGGAAACAGCCAGCTGTCGATGGAGGGAGTCCTATTCTTGGATATTTTATTGACAAGTTAGTGCTGAGGCTAATATCAGTTACAGTTATTTGGTCGTAGAGATGCAGTCTTGATTTCTCCCATCATTTCTAGGGGAAATATTTTGTTTTCTGGCCTTGCTCTCTGTTTCTATTTCTGTATCTCTCTTCATCTTTCTTTTTCTCTATTTGTCTCACTCTCTCACTCTCTCTTTCTCTCTGTGTATATAGATGTACACACACATACAGATACATAGACACACATACATATAATGGTACCTACATATATATATATATAAAGTGGGTATATATACCCATTATAAGTACCTGTGTGTGTGTGTGTGTGTGTGTGTGTGTGTGTGTGTGTTGAGTAGGTACTTGGAAACACCGATTTCTAATTGAGTACTTTTACAGCAGTTAGTACCTGCAGATGGAATGGGTCATTCCCCAGCAGACAAATGTGACAGCTCATATCATAGTGTCACAAAATTCATCTTTGAAACTTAGGTAAATAGGGGTGTGTGTGTGTGTGTGTATATATATATATATATAGTTCATTTCCAAGATGGCCTCTGTTAGGTCTCTGTTAGGTCTACAAATTCATAGCATTCTTGCCAAATTAGTGACATGAGCTGGTAGTCAAATTCAAAAAATTCTTCTTTGGAATTTAGGTAAAAGTTCCAAAAATGAATTAATTATTTACCTAAATTCCAAAGATGAAGTTTTTTGAATTTGGCTACCAGCTTATGTCACTAATTTGGCAAGAATGTTATGAATTTGTAGACCTCATAGAGGCCACCTTGGAAATGAAATAACTGGAATTCAGCATAGTTAATGTCCATATTCCTAATATGTCAATAATTTAAGAATATTTACTTTGGTAATACTACCAAAGTCTTATTTCTACCTCAGGATATGTTTTCAAGTTATACAAAGAAGTAACAACAAAAAATCAATAGTAGCAAATTATGCAGTATCTACAAGTTGTTGTCTACATTCTCCAAAACTTTAGAGGCTCTGATATTTATAGTAATTGGGCTTTACACATTAATTATGACATGATTTTGGACAATACAGACAGCAAGTTTAGATTATTGGCCTAAATAACACTGTTCTCTGACTTGGTTTCTATTCAGATCATTGCTCCAATTCTCTTTTCATTTTTGAGTAATGAAACCTCATTGTAGAAATCACTAGAGACGGACAATCTGTGTCGTATTAGCACAGTGGGTTTGCACCAAGGGTGCGTTGAACCTCGCAGTACATAAATACAGGTGATTGGGCTCAGAACTATTTGTAAGAAATATTTCTAATAAATTATATACTATTTAACCATCATGTGAAATAATGCTTCCACAACATTTCATCATTTAGTAGTGATGAATTGTGAAGGTTTAGATATATTCTTTTTTGTGCTTTATTGTCTTTGGCACATTTCCAAGGGATTTTTACATTTTGACCAGTGAAAGGCCGGGGACAGTCAGTACATTTTGCTCTCCTCTGGCCTTAGTCGTAACGAAAATACCCACCTTGTGGCTATGATTTATTAGGCATTTACTGTGTGCATGGCATTGTTCTAAACACATCGCATATATTAACCACTAACCCATAACCACCCTTCAAGTAGGAAATGAGGCCCAAGACCACATATCAGTGAGGAAGCACTAACTCGCCTAAGATCACGCGGGTAATAAGCAGCAGAACTAGAATTCAGATGTGAGCCTGGCTGTAGGTTTGTGTTCTTTCTGCTCCAACGTGCTGCGGACAGTGTCAGGAGCAGTGAGTTCCGCCTTTCTTTCTGCCCACATGAGGTTAGGAAGGATCCTCTAGTGTCACTAGGTCACCACAGTATCTGCACAGAGAAGAGGCTGAGTCCTGGCAGAATCTCTGGAGACAGGTGTAGTTTGAAGAATTGTCCTGGCCCTATTGGCTTCTGCCACTGCCCCACCTCCCCAAAATCCTAGCAGCTCCAGAATTTCTACCAAGGAGGATTAGGGGAAATGGATGGAAGGCAGGGATCGAAGCCACATTTGACAGACAACAGTTTACATAAGGAAAGTGAGGAAGTTGTCTATTCTGCTTTACATAAGGAAATTGTCTATTGTCTATATCAAAGAGAGGAAGGTGATTGTGAGGTGATTGTGAAACTTCCCACACCAGCCACCTCTGTCCTGCCACTGGCAACCCCCAGGCCCCTGAGAATCATTTGGGAATTATACATTTTGGACATAGAGCCCATGTTGGGGAAATGATATGAACTAAAAGTGCAGCACTCTGCTCATAAAAAAAGTAAGAGTTGCTTAATCCTAATGCTGTAAAATTTAATCACATGTTGAGCCCCTAAAGCTTTGTTGATCAGGCCAACAGTATGATACGAGCTGTCACATTTGTCTGCTGGGAGTGACCCACTCCATCCCCAGGTACCAACTGCTGTAAAAGCACTCAATTAGAAATCAGTGTTTCCAAGTACCTACTCAATCTGCGCCTGCCAGGCCTGGGCATCTCCCCACCTCTCATCAGTCTCTTCGGTTAAAGAAACAAACATCTCCACAATAACCTCCTTACCCTCTCTATACAGGATGTAATGACCATCAAGTGAGAAAATATGGTGAACTATTCTCCAAACTACAGTCCAAATAGCTATCTTTTACAATGCCAATTTTCTCAATAATATCTCTGTTTTTCAAAGGAAATACCTAAGGAAGACAGAGAAGTCACTAATGGTAGAATTGAAGGCATCTGCCGGGAGATGTTTGCGGGTCCTCTCCAGTGCTAAGATTGGATATATTTATCTGCTTAGCCCAGCAGCTCTCAAACCCCTCTGCTTTGCACACAAGGCCCCTCAGACGCCTGCCTTTTATGGGTTCAGGAAGGACCTGAGGCTTCTTTCCTCTTGGTAAAGAAGACACAGTGCATTTGAGTGAAACTGGGTGCCTGCAGTTCACCAGCTAGTGGGCCACGCCTGACTTGGATATTTTACTGGGAGATCTGAAACAACTGGGTGGTTTTGCAGCTCTGGAGATATTCATTAAGCCATACTTCTTTTACTATTTTTGTCAATCACGCTCATTCCTTTAGGTGTGAGGTGGGCACAGATAACTGGTCGCAGTGCAATGACACACCTGTGAAGTTTGCTCGTTTTCCTGTCACTGGATTGATCGAAGGTCGTTCCTATATCTTCCGAGTTCGAGCTGTGAATAAAACGGGAATAGGTTTCCCATCTCGAGTTTCCGAGCCCGTGGCTGCTCTGGATCCAGCCGAGAAAGCTAGACTTAAAAGTAAGCACTTTTCATTTTTCAGGACCTTCCCTAAACCTTTTTAAAATGACGGCAATCAGCTTCATTGCAAGGTTGTTCCTCTCCCTTCCACTAGAGGGAGACAAGAACAAGAAATCCTTTTTTCATCAGAAAATCCGAGGGGGAAAAATCCCCCGAAAACTTTGCCTTAGTCATTCTCTTAAGGGTTTTATTTTATTTTATTTTAGTCAGAAATATTTATGTTGTTAAACTGAGTTCCAGGCATTGTGTGTGGAATGAAGTATGAAAGCAAAGAGCTTCGAGAACATTTTTATTCCCATTATTATACATTCCAAAAATAATTTTCTTTCTGCCTCTAGGTCTATTTCTTTACCTTGGAATCCACCCTTAGAGCATTAATATCTCAGCACAGTGCGTCTCTCTATATCAAAGGAAAAACAGATAGACAACATTATATCTAATCTAGGTTTGAGTTCTCATATTAGACTGTCAAAAATCATCTTTTCAGGCCAGGCGCAGTGGCTCACGCCTGTAATCCAGCACTTGGGGAGGCAAAGGTGGGAGGATTGCTTGAGCCTAGGAGTTCTGAGACCAGCCCCGGCAGCATAGAAAGACCCCATCTTTACAAAAAAAGGAAAAAAAAAAAGCCAGGCATGGTAGCACACACCTGTAAGTCCCAGCTACTTAGGAGGCTGAGGTAGGAGGATTGTTAGAGCCCAGGAGGTCAAGGCTGCAGTGAGCTGTGATCATACCATTGCACTCCAGCCTGGGCAACAGAGTGAGACCCTGTCTCAATAATAACAATAATAATAATCTTTTAATAAATTTAGTCTCCAAGTCTGAATGTCAAAACCATGGTACATGAATCATGCCCTATATTTGTTTTGTGGAAACCCATATGGCATCTCCAACAATAGGGAACGTAAAATGACATTACGAGAAGTGTTGGATAGTAACATTTCAGTCTTATGCCAGGCTTCTCAACCTTGGCCCTACTGGCATTTTAGGCCAGTAATTCTTTGTCATTGCGGGAGGTGGCTGGGGGTGTCCTGTTCATTGCCGGAGGCTGAGCAACATCCCTTGTCTCTACCCACTAGATACCAGCAGTGTCATGGAGACACTACCAAATGTCACCTGAGGGGCAAAATCACCTTTGTAGAGGACTGCTGGTCTTTGCTACATTCACAGTGTTATTCTTTACCTTCAGTACATGTAGTGGCATCATAAAAGTCTAATTAAAATAAAGTCACTGACTGGTTGTGGTGGCTCACACCTGTAATCTCAGCACTCTGGGAGGCCGAGGTGGGTGGATCACCTGAGGTCAGGAGTTCGTGACCAGCCTGGCCAACATGGCGAAACCCCGTCTCTACTAAAAATACAAAAAATTATCCAGGCGTGGTGGCAGGCACCTGTAATCCCAGCTACTTGGAAGGCTGAGGCAGAAGAGTCATTTGAACCCGGGAGGCAGAGGTTGCAGTAAGCCAAGATCACGCCACTGCACTCCAGCCTGGGCGACAGAGCGAGACTCCATCTCAAAATAATAATAATATTACCATTTCCCCAGCAACCGTGTCCCATCAGGCTCCTTGATTGCTCTTCAGTCACTTTTCACCAACCCTCCGACTTCCTGCCCTCTTTTCTGAACTTGCAAATTCCATCTCATACATTCGTTTTCTCTTCTTTTATCAGTTCTAATCAAAATAAGATTTGTTTGAATTGAAAATAAGTTATCTTCTTCACCGCCTTTCCGTTTTTGCACAAACTCTGACAGAAAGTCCCCTGGTTAATGCAAGAGTAGAACCACTCTCTTTCTGATGTTTATGGCATCATACAAGTGAAATTTCCTCTTTAACTTTGTACCCGTATCATTCATTTTCCTTGCTCAGGATCTCAACTGATTTCCTTTGGAGATAATGTTTTTCGAAATGTAATGGGAAAGATTTGCTTTGCTGAGCTTTACTGCAGGATCAGTACTCCCTCTCCTCTTTCATCTTATTATGACAGATAAATAACTACTGGACTTACAATTGTTCTGGAAATGTTTCTCCCAAACGCATGCTATCTCTTCAGAGGGGACGAGCAAGCCTACCTGTTCCAGGAGATTCATATTGAACAGTTAAATGAACACAGGTTACTTACCTAGCTTGTGCCAGTACAGTTCCAGAAACATCTACTCAGCCAGTCCAGGCAGATTCCAGGCTCCAGGAGATTATGAGTACCTTGAGGACAGGGGCTATGTTTCCCACAATGCCCTCTACATGATTGATACCATTCATGGGAAAACACAGAAGTCTGCTAGTAACAACCCCAGTTGTGACTAATCTGGCCACTTTCCCAACTCATCAGTGCAGCTGATAAATTGCACACTTGTGAACGTTTGTAATTCTTCCTTTTGTCTTTGTTCAGGTCGCCCCTCAGCACCCTGGACTGGACAGATCATTGTTACTGAAGAAGAACCTTCAGGTAAGAAGTCTGGTTGCCCCAGATACTATTGCTGATGTTTTGCTAAGCAGTTTGGCTTTTGTTGTAGAGGGTGCCGTGTGTATTGCTTAAGACGTTTTGGGAAGAACATTGTAAAATATATGGAGATTGTAAGTAACTTAAGTCAGAGAATCCCATTTTATTTTCAAAGCTTTATTAAGATGTAATTGTCATATAATATACTGCAAATATGTAACATGTACAATTTGATAAATTTTACACGTGTATATACCCGTGAAACCATCACCATTTTCAAAATAATGTATTTTATCACCCCTAAAATTTCCCCTTCCCCTTTGTAATTCCTCCCTTTCATGTCTCCCCGTCTCCAGCCATCAGTGATCTGCTTTCTGTCCCTGTAGTTTACGTTGTCCACAATTGTAGATCAATTGAATCGTGTTCATTTTTGTCTGTTTTTCTTTACTCAGCATAATTATTTTGAGATTTATCTACATTGGCGTGTGTATCAATTCATTCCAATGTATTTATCCATTCACTGTTGAAAGCTTCTATGAACATTCTTAACTGTTTCTGTGGACATATGCTTCCATTTATATCGTGCGTAAATACCTAGGAGTTGAATGGATGTGTTATGTGGTAAGTGTACGCTTAATTTTTAAAGGAACTGCCAACTGTTTTCCGAAATGATCGTACCATGTTCCATTCCCACCAGCACCACATGAGAGTTCCAGTTGCTCCCGCCTTGTCACTAGGACAGTGTGGCCAGTCTTTCTAATTTTAGCCGTTCTAGTGGGTTCATAGTGGTATTTCTTTGTGGCTTTGATTTGCATTTTATTCATAATGTCGAGCATCTTTTCATATGTTAATTTGCCAGTTTTTGTGACATTGGGCATCTTTGTGAAATTCAGTTATTCTTCCTGTTTTTTACCCCCTGGAAATGTTATAACGTTCGTTTTTACATTTCACTTTGTGACGCATTTAAAATTAATTTTTTCTATGTTACAAGAAGTAAGGGTCTCAGTTATTACTATCATTCATACTTGTATATGGCTATTAAATTATTTCAGCAATATCTATTGAAAAGATTATTCTTTACCCAATGAATTTGTCTTGGCACCATTGTCAAATTCAATTTATTACGTATTTGTGGATCAATTTCTGGAATCTCTGTTGGTCAATTTTCTTTCCCCTCTATCAATACCATACTGTCTTTATTACTACGGCTTTTCTGAGTTTCATTTTATTTGACATATAAATTTTAGCATCTTAAAATCAGTACAAGTCCTCTAATCTTATGTTGGTTTTTTTCCTCCCAAAGTTGTTTCAGCTATTCTGTCTTTACATTTCTATATAAATTTTAAAATCAGCTTATCAACTTCTACAAAACACATGCTGGGATTTCAACTGAACAGTATTGAGTCTTTTGATTTATGAACATAGCCTGTATCTCCATTCATTCAGCTTTGCTTTCATTTCTCTCACCTTAGTAGTTTTAGTGTGCAGGTCCTGCACATTTTTATAGATTTACTCTCAAGTATTTCAGATTTCTGATGATGCTGTAGATGGTATTGCTTTTTACTTTAATTTGTTTTTGATGCTATTAGAAAGAAACGCAATTGATTTTTGTATATTGATTTTGTGTCCTGCATCCTTGCTGAACTAATTTATTAATTCTCACAAACGTTAGGGTTTTTAATGAAATTTATTATGGATTTTCTATTACAGGATTATGCCATCTGTAAATAAAGATAAATTAACGTCTTCCTTTTCAATCTGGATACCTTTTATTTCTTTTTCTTTCCTTATTGCTCCATCTAGAACCTTTAGTACGATGTTGAATAGAAGTGGTAGACTGGTCATCTTTGCCTTTTCCTGATCTCAGGGGGAAAGCATTCAGGCTGCCACCATTACGTCTAACATTAAGTGTAGGTTTTGTATAGATATCCTTTATCCAGTTGAGGAAAATTTCTTATACTCCTGGTTTTCTGAGAGTTTATATTAGGGAAAAGTGTTGGATTTTGTCAAATGCTTTTCCTGTTTCTATTGAGATGATCATATGATTTTTATTTTTCCACTTAACATGTTGAATTACATTGATTAATTTTAGATTATTAAACCTAAATAAAGTAAGTGACGCAAACTAAACCTCACAGTCTTGGGTTGAATGTCACTATGTTATGCTGTGTTATACATTGCTGGAGTTTACTTGCTAAAATTTTTTTAAGGAATTCTTGTATCTATATTCATAAAAGATATTGGTCTGTGGTTTTTCCTAGTTAAGTCTTGGCTTGGTTTTGGTATTAGGGTAATGAGTGGAAAGTGTTCCCATTATTTTAATTTTTCGAAAGAGCTTGTGTGGACTTCTTTTTTTTTTAATCAAACATTTAGTATAATTTACCAGTAGAGCCATCTAGGCCTGGAGGTTTGTTTTTTGGTTTGTTTTGTTTTGTTGTGGGAAGCTTTTATACTGCAAATTCAATTTTTAAAATAAATTTAGGACTATTCAGGTTATTTACTTTTTCTTGAATAAAATTTAATAGTTTTCATCTTTCAAGAAACTTATTCATTCATAAAGTTGTTCATATTTTCTTATTATCCTTTTAATATCTGCAGAATTTGTAGTGGTGTCACCTCTTTCATTCCTGATATTCGTGTTTTACCTCCTTTGTCCTGACCTGACTTTTCATAGTTCACCTTCCAGTAATATTATATTACTTCACATGTAGTGTAAGAATTTACAACAGTGCTTTTTTTTTTTTTTTTTTTTTCCCCGACAGGGTCTCTCTCTGTTGCCCAGGCTGGAGTGCAGTGACATGATCATGGCTCACTGCAACCTCAACCTCTTGGGCTCAAGCAATTCTCCCACCTCAGCCTCCCAAGTAGCTGGAGCTGTAGGTACACACCACCATACCTGGCTAATTTTTGTATTTTTTGTAGAGCTGGGGTTTCACCAAGTTGCCCAGGCTGGTCTCAAACTCCTGAGCTCAAGCAATTCACTTGCCTTGGCCTCTCAAAGTGTCTGGATTACAGGCATGAGCCATTGTGCCTGGCCTGCAACAGTATTATTCCATTGCCCACTCTTACCCTTGGTGCTGTTATTGTCATACATTTTATTTGCATATTTATTGTAAACTACATAATACGATATTATTATTTTGACTGTAGTCAATTATCTTTCAGAGATATAAAATGTAAGAAAAAAGGTTTTATTCACTCACATTTTTATCATTTCTGTTGCTTTTCATTTCTTTGTATAAATCCAGATTTCAATCTGATATGATTTTCTTTTTACCCGAAGCACTTCCTTGAACATTTCTTGTAGTGCTGGTATTTTATCCTTTGTTATGTGAAAAAAAAACCTCTATTTTACCTTCATTCTTGAACTATGTCTTCACTAAGTATAGAATTCTAGGTTGACAGTTTTTTCTCTCAGTACTTTAAGAGCTTTGTCCAGCATAATGTAGATCTACGCTACAAGAATGATTGCTTTTATTCTTATTTTTGTTCCTCAATATATAATGTGTCTTCTCTATCTGCTTTTAATATATTCTCTTTATCGCTAGTTTTTAGCATTTGATTATGATATGCATTGTGTAGTTTTCTTCGTGTATCTTGTGCTTAGGGTTTGCAAGTTTCTCTAATCTGTGGGTTTGTAGTTTTCATCACATTTGGAAATTTTTCATCATTATTTCTTTAAATATTTTTTCTGTATCCCATTATTTTTCTTGACCTCTGGAGTCTATGTATTTCCAGTCTCCTTCCCCCCTGCCTGATAAGACCAACTTTACTGTAACTGCAAACTGAAACTGTCCTAAACTTTACTAAAACTATAAACTCAGCTCCACTGGGTCCTTCTCTCCTGCCTATCTGCTTATAGGATTCAGTGCCCCACGTATTTTCATATCTGAGCCAGGGTAAGTCCTGCTTGTGGGGGTTCATGTGGCTCGAAACTCTAGATGCTCTGGGACTTCTGGGATCAGGGTGCTTCTGGAAGTTTGTCCTTGCTTTCACCCTAACACTCCTGACCTGGCCTCAGAACTAAAGATAAGAAGAGTATCCTAGATTTCTTAGCTCTATATTCTAAATGAGCAATGGGGCTGGCCACTGTGGCTCATGCCTGTAATCCCAGCAATTTGGGAGGCCAAGGCAGGAGGATCACTTCAGCTCAGGAGTCCAAGACCAGCCTGGGCAACATAGGGAGACCTCGTCTCTACAAAAAAAAAAAAAAAAAATTGAATTATGTAGGTGTGGTGGTGTGCACCTGTGGTCCCAGCTATTTGGAAGGCTGAGGTGGGAGGATCACTTGGGCCCAGGAGATCAGGACAGCAGTGAGACATAATTGCACCACTGCACACCAGCGTGGGTGGTAGAGTGAGACCCTTTCCCCCACAAAAAAACCAAAACAACAACAACTGCTCAATGGCATTTGAAGAATGAATGAATGAATGATATTTTGGGGGAATTTTAGAGACAAGATACTTCTTTATACTGTGGAGCCGTAATGAACTCTTCCTCCACAGACAGCAGCATCTGTGGCTCTCTGAGTATCCTGGGCTACCCAGAATGTGTGCTTCTCATGTTTCCTTGTTGTTTTTCAGAGGGTATTGTGCCTGGCCCCCCGACAGACCTCTCTGTCACTGAGGCCACCCGGAGCTACGTGGTGCTCAGCTGGAAGCCCCCTCGTCAGCGTGGTCATGAGGGCATTATGTACTTTGTGGAAAAGGTAAGACTCTAGCATCAACATGACCTCATACTACCTCCTAACGATTTGTTTAGAAAAGTAGAGGCTAAATTCCCAGGGACAATGGAGTGAGGGAGGAGGGGAACATTTCCTGAACTCACTAGATCTTTATAAACTGTGAACTTTCTCCGTAGAACAAAGTGTATAACACAGAACTGTGCCTGAAAATCAAGGGGTTTATGGATCCCCAAGACTCACCCATAGACTCCTAAGAGATCCAGACCCAATACCATAGCCCCTACAAGAAGAGAAATGTTCCTGAAATGGTAGATTGACTGTATGACAATGTTTTCTAGGGACCTTCCTGTCTCCCTTGCTTGGTAATGGCTTTTCATCTCTCTACCACTCCTCCTTCTGTAGCAGGGCGTGAACATCGTGAGGCTAGAAGGGAGGGGGGAACAGAGAAGGGGCAATACTCTCAAATGGCCAGGAGTGTGGAAGACAGCAAGCTCACGCCGCTGTACTTCGCTAGCTCCACTCTGAGTACAGGTAGCGGAATGAGGTCAGGGATCACAAAACAGTAAATATTGGCAAGTTCTTTCCCCAGATAGCTTACAATTATGTTGCGAATTAGAACATTAGAGAAGGCAGCGTGCAATGAAGGACCAGAATGGGTGGAACGAATGAGAACGGTATGTGAATCAACCACGCATCCGTATTTGTGGGGAGTTCTGGGAACGAATGAGAACCGTATGTGAATCAACCACACATCCGTATTTGAGGGGAGTTCTGATAAGGATTTATGCCCAACAAATGGAGAAGAGCCAAGACCTGTACAGGACATTATTTTGGGGGAACTGACTGCCACAAGTGTAGAAACAGGAGAGCTGCCGGGCAAGGCACAGGTCTTAGAGGGGCAAGAAGTCCTTGACTAACAGGATCATGGCTACTGGAAAACGGCATTTAAAGAGAATTTGCTTAAAACGAGGTTCAAAATCCATTTGTTGAAAAAGTTCTGATTAGGATATAATTGAGAAAATGAAAGAAAATAAGTTTATTTTATCCCATATGTAAGAACTTTATATTTTTATTGGTAGCAATGCACCATTTTTTAGAACAACAAATGAAACAAGTGTTTGTACTTTAAAATTTTTTTTAATAAAATTCTGTGATAGCATGAAAAGGTATCATTTACTTTACATTTTACTTTCATAGCAAAATCATAGAATTTTTTTTTATAAAAATACAGTGCTCAATTAATTCTCCTAAAGGTCTTTCTCTTTCATCCTTAATACTGTTTTGGTCATTCATTTTTATAACACCTATTAGGTCACCTTCCCTGATAATTATTGCAAGATAATACGTTTCATAGGTATATAGGTGTATGCAAACTTCCGCAAATTAGGTAGTAACAACATAAAGACAATACGCAAATATCTTTGAGCTGCATTCTTCACTTCCTTTTTATTCCTAGCAAAATGGTGACAATGGATGCCTTATCTCCTCTACATGCAATATGGATATCTTCCAAGAGAGTCTTGTTTTACAGAAATAATATTAAATTTTTATATACTTTCTAGATATCAACTTCAAATATAATATAACTTGAATAGTATTCTAAGATTTTTTTTTTTTTTTTTTTTTTTTTTTTTTGAGATGGAGTCTCTCTGTTGCCCAGGCTAGAATGCAGTGACACAATCTCAGCTCACTGCAAACTCCGCCTCCCCAGTCTAAACAATTCTCCTGCTTCAGCCTCCTGAGTAGCTGGGATTACAGGCGTGAGCCACCACGCGCCACTAAACTTTGTATTTTTAGTAGAGACAGGGTTTCACCATGTTGGCCAGGGTGGTCTCAAACTCCTGACCTCAAGTAATCCTCCTGCCTCAGCCTCCCAAAGTGCTGGGATTACAGGCATGAGCCACCACGCCTGGCTGCATTGTAAGCTTTTTAAAAGAAAATAGATGGCAAAAATAGAGTGGTGGATCGATGTTCATTTCCTAGTGTGTTTAATACACACCCCCACTGAATCTCTTTGAAACACTCCACAGGAAGAAGGTTCTGAATAACCTCTGTGACAGTAATTACCATCTTTCCTATAATAAGGACACATAACAACTATTCAGAGGCGTTTTCTGCAGATGAGTCAGCTTTGGCTGCTGCTGAACCTTTCCTCTGGTCATATAAACTCTAATTTCTCTGTGGAAGTCTATAACTTCCCTAGACCTAAATACCTATGAGTTTGTGATTAAAAATTAAATATTCTTCCTCCAGCACACCTATTGGCATGGAACAGAAGGGGGCATTTATGAACACAGTACTATGTAGAGAGGCCTGCACAGGGCAAGGAACACAGAACACCCAGGATGTTGGGTATTGAGGACACAGAACACATCCAGGGACCTGGGGTACATTTGCAGAACCATCCAAATGTCAAACTGTTCTGAGCTGAGACTAAAATTATTTCTGATGCCGCTCTTCTGATATGCTGACCTTTCTAAAGGGAAAAGGTTTGCGCGCTCCTGTCCCTGCCGTGTCTGTTCCAGGACGCCCTGCACCCGGCATGCTGCCTGTTGGGCCACCCCTGTGCTTGTTCTTCTTCACGGCATGTCCTTGATCCCCAGAACGGGTGAAATCGAAGGGTTTATTAGCAAGGGACTCAGATGAATCAGTCCTTGGACTTCCAGCCTCCCCGTCCTACTGTGTTCTTTTTAGTCCCAAACATTTTCCTCAGGTGTTTTACGTCCTGAGCACTTTCTCTCACTCCCCTATCAAAAATCTGATCGTGTCAGAGACAAGGACTGTATCACTTGTTAAGAGCAGGAATGAATATGGCTAAGATTTGCACTGTTCTAAGCACCTTATGGTAATTAACCCACTTAATTCTTAGAGTAGCCCTATGTGGTAAATACCTTTGTTTTCATCATGCCTGTGTATTTTTAAATGTTTTGTAGAGATGGAGTCTCCTTATGTTGCCCAGGCTGATCTCAAACTCCTGAGGTCAAGCGATCCTCCCGTTAGCCTCCCAAAGTGCTGGGATTACAGTTGTGAGCCACTGTGCCTTCTGTACCACTCCTCCTTCTGTAGCATGGACATCGTGAGGCTAGAAGGGAGCGGGGAACAGAGAAAGGAATAACAGATCTTGCCTATTTTGTAGGTGAGGAAACTGACGCATAGAAAGGTATATAATTTGCCCGAGGTCACAGAGCTGGTACAAAACAGAACTGAGATTTGAACCCCAGCAGTCTGGTTCAGGCGCATAAATCCAACAATTACACCGGGTCGCCTTTCAATCTTCCCAGGCTTGTCTTCTCCTCTGGAAAATGTTGACAATCATACAATACTACCTCCACAATACCTACTCCATGGCATAGTGGAGAGGTGTAAAGAGTTATAATGGCTTATAAAGTTTTCGGCACAGTGAAAGGCAGCTATTTTTTTATGAGAGCATAAACAACTGATAATGGCCTAAGAATTTGCCGGGGCGGAATATGTCAAAAGAAATTAAAGCCATAAACAAAAAGATTAAAGGTCTGAGAGAGTTTCGTCCCACAGGAGACAGCAGACACACAAAAGATACGTTATCATAAAAAACACTGCAAGGAACTTTAGAGGTTACCTTGTCAAATTGGCTCGTTTTATAGAAGACGAAACTGAGGCCGAGAGCATATGTGTGGCTTTCCAAGGTCACGTGGCTTGTTATTAACACAAAGGGAGCAGATCCCATCCCTTTGACTCCTCTATGCCATGCCATGTTACCTCCTTGTCAAGTCAAGGAAGATCATGCTGTGTGATGGACTCATAAACTTAAAGTCCCAGAAATGGACCATCCTGACAGCTGGTCAATCTGTCACGAGATCTGGATTTCAGAAAAGTCTTTTGAAAACGTTAAAAATTTCTCTAGCAAAATCAGGCAAGAGTTTCTAAAGTTCTTCTCTGACCAACCATGGGCAAAGCTGGAAATTAAAATAGGAGGGAAAAAGGATTACCAAAGGCTTCTGACAGTTTTCTTACAATATCTTCTACCAGAGCTCAAATACACACCACGTCCTTCTTTCGAGGATTTCCAAGTCACTCTACATCATTTTCATTTTAAGAATAGAGTGTCATTAAATTAGTTTTCCTGTTAATTATTCTAAGACTTAGGCAAAAAAAGAGAACATCTTTTTTTAATCTGGATTTTATTGATACATAATCAATGCATGTATTTACAGGGTACACTGAATATTTTGATATATCCTTGCAATATGTAATGATCAAATCAGAGTAATTGGGGTACCCATCACCTCAAACATTTATTATTTGTGTTGAGAAAATTCTAAATCTTATCTTTTAGGTATTTTGAAATATATAATAAATTATTGATAACTGTAGTCACCCTACTGTGCTATTGAACACAAGAACTTATTTCTTCTAATTGTATTTTTGTGCCCATTAACCAACCTCTCTTCACCACCGCCCCCAACCCTTCTCAGCCTCTGGCAACCACCGTTCTACTCTCTACCTCCACAAGATCAAATTTTTTAGCTCCCACATATGAGTGAGAACATGAGATATTTGTCTTTATGTGCCTTATTTCACTTAACAAAATGACCTCCAATTCTATTCATATTGCTGCAAAGGACAGGAATTCATTCTTTTTTATGGCTAAATAGTATTCCGTTGTGCATATTTACCAGTTTCTTTATCCATTCATCCACCGATGGGCACCTGGGTTGATTCCATATTTTAGCTATTGTGAGTAGTGCAGCAATAAACATGGGAGTGCAGATATCTCTTTGACATACTGATTTTCATTCTTTTGGATATATACCCAGCAGTGGGATTGCTGGATCATATAGTAGAAGAACATCTTCATCTTTCATTCATTTAGAAAAAAAAAATACTGTAGCTGATTATGTACTATTTGCCAGATGGAATTCTATGCTCTGTCATAAAGCAGTGAACAAAGCTCCCTGAGCTTATGTGATTTGCTCTTCAGTGGAGGAGACAACAAATAAATAACTTAATTTCAAATAGTGATACATGACTGAAGAAGAATGAAGCAGACTAAGAAAAAGAGAGTGATAAGAAAAGGACCAAGAATTCTTTTAAATAGGTAATGGGCAGGCCAGGCACAGTGGCTCATGCCTGTGGGAGGCTGAGGTGGGTGGATCACTTGAACCCAAGAGTTAGAGACCAGCCTGGGCAAAATGGGGAAACCTCATCTCTACAGAAAAATACAAAGATTAACCAGGTGTGGTGGCGTGTGCCTGTAGTTCCAACTACTTGGGAGGCTGAGGTGAGAGGATCACTTGAACCCAAAGAGGTCAAGGCTGCAGTGAGCCATAATTGTGCCACTGTACTCCAGCCTGGGTGACAGGGTAAGACCCTGTCTCAAAAATAAAATAAAATAAAATAAAATTTAATTAGAAAATTACCTGATCCCAAACTATCCTCGAAATAAGACTTTTGTAAGCAGATTATTGTATTTAGTTAACAAAAGAAGCGGAGTATTTAAGTAGCATATTTTTCAAACAATACAATGCTATATTAGTCCATTTTCATGCCATTGATAACGACATACCAGAGACTGGGTAATTTATAAAGAAAAAGAGGTTTAATGGACTCACAGTTCCACGTGGCTGGGGAGGCCTCACAATCATGGTGGAAGGCGAAAGGCATGTCTTACATGGTGGCAGGGAAGAGACAGAATAAGAACCAAGTGAAAGAAGTTTCTCCTTTTAAAACCATCAGCTCTCGTGAGACTTATTCACTACCACGAGAACAGTATGGGGGGGAACCTGCCCCCCATGATTCAATTATCTCCCACCGGGTCCCTCCCACACACATGGGAATTATGGGAGCTACAATTCTAGATGAGATTTGGGCAGGGACACAGCCAAACCATATCAAAAGCCATGTTTGATTTAGAGAATCCTACAAACTTCGGATGCCTCATCCCCTATTTCCTCCGAATCTCTCCTCCAGTCCAGCTTGCATTACAGGGAGTGGTTTGTTGTAGATGAATGAAACTTGGAGATGCCTGGCCTGGATTCTCGCTTGGGCTTGCTGTGCTTTCAATGAGTTTCCCTGTTCTTGCTGCAGTGTGAGGCAGGAACAGAAAACTGGCAGCGAGTGAACACGGAGCTCCCCGTGAAGTCTCCCCGCTTTGCTCTGTTTGACCTGGCCGAGGGGAAATCCTACTCTTTCCGCGTTCGCTGTTCTAATTCTGCAGGCGTTGGTGAGCCCTCGGATGCAACGGAGGTGACTGTGGTAGGGGACAAACTTGGTAAGCAACTGTAAACTTCTTTTACTTCAAGAGAAAAATTCAAAGCAAGAATCTAACTAGTATATGTGTATTTGGCCAGCAGTAAAAATGGTGACATACTTCTTTCATATTATAAATTTACTTGATGGCTGTACTTAACCTATGCATTAAACAAAAATTCATTGTTTTTGTTTATGAAAAGTAAACTTCTTTGGGAGTTTCAACAATATTGATAATGTGTTTTTTCTGAAGTTCATGGACATTTAGTTTATCCATACTCCCTAACTGTTTTTAAATTTTTTGCTTTAAAAAATACCATGTAGGCCAGGCGTGTTGGCTCATGCCTGTAATCTGAGCACTTTGGGAGGCCGAGGCAGGCAGATCACCTGAGTCCAAGAGTTTGAGACCAGCCTGGCCAACATGGTGAAACCCTGTCTCTACCAAAAATACAAAAATTAGCCAGGCGTTGTGGCGCATGCCTGGTACTTCCAGCTACTCAGGAGGCTGAGGTGGGAAAATTACCTGAACCTGGGAGGTGGGGGCTGCAGTGAGCCAAGATCCCGCCACTGCTCTCCAACCTGGGCGACAGAGCGCGCGACTCAGTCTCAAAAAAAAAAAAAAAAAAAAAAAAAAATCATAAAATAAAGCAGCTGTCCTTTTGATGTGACACAGTATGTAAAATACTTAGGTGTGTGTTTGTGCATAGATAAGGATGAATTTTTAAAACCACCTGAGTTTGATCACCATGTTCCTCCTTCTCAGATATCCCCAAGGCTCCTGGCAAAATCATCCCGAGTAGAAACACAGACACTTCAGTGGTGGTTTCATGGGAGGAGTCCACAGATGCCAAAGAGCTGGTCGGGTACTACATAGAGGCGAGCGTTGCTGGCTCTGGCAAGTGGGAGCCCTGTAACAACAACCCCGTGAAGGGCTCACGGTAACTCAACCGGGCGTGCAGGGCGGGCAACGGCCTCTGGAGCTACCATAGACACACACAGCACACAGACATCCAGTGAGGGAGATTTTTTTTAAAAAAACATTACACTTTTTGGCTGGAAGTGGTGGCTTACACCTGTAATCCTAGCAGTTTGGGAGGCCGAGGTGGGAAGATTGCTTGAAACCAGAAGTTCAAGACCAACCTGGCCAACATAGTGAGACCCTGTCTCTACAAACAAACAAACAAAAACACAAGAAAACATTATACTTTAAATAAACTAATGCAGTGGCAGGCCTGTAGTCCCAGCTACTCAAGAGGCTGAGGTGGGAGGGTCCCTTGAGCTTGAGTTCAACTTGAGTTCAACTACAGCTTGAGTTCGAAGCTGTAGTATACAATGACCAGGCCTATAAATAGCCACTGCCAGCCTGGGCAACATAGGGAGACTCCATCTCTAAAAAACAAAACAGAACAAGGCTGGATGTAGTGGCCCATGCCTCTAATCTCAACACTTTGGGAGGCCAAGGTGGGCCGACTGCTTGAGCCCGGGAGTTTGAGACCAGCCTGGGCAACCTGGCGAAAACCTGCCTCTACAAAAAGTACAAAAATCAGCCCAGCATGGTGGTGTGCTATAGTCCCAGCTACTCAAGAAGTTGAAGTGGGAGAATTGCTTGAGCCTAGGAGGTCAAGGCTGCAGTGAGCTATGATCACACCACCGTACTCTAGCCTGGGCAACAGAGCAAGACCCTGTCTCAAAAAACAAACAAGCAAAGCAAAACAATTACACTTTAGATATTTAAATTAATTTAAAATTGATCATATTAGATGCAATACGTCTTTTTTAAGAAGGTTTACTTGTGATGTTAAACACTTAGCAACACATAATGCCAACTATTTTAAGAGTTCGTTTCATAGTGCTTTTGCTGCTGCTTCCTTTTTTACCCCTCTGATTTTATATCTAGTATGCAACGTGATATTAGATTCTGAGGATCTAATATGCTCTACTTAACATAAATTACCCAGGAATTTTAAATGAAGAGAAAAAAGTGTCAACATTTTACAAATTCTGGACATCAACATGATTAAACCCAGTGCTAAGTAGACATAGTAACACCAAAACAAAGACATTCAGAATAATTTGCTGCCTCTTTGTATTGTTTCTAATGGGGGAAGGCTTGTTTTTTTTCTTGCTTTCAACCGTTTTATCAATCAGCTTTGCACATTGGTGGTGAATTCTGGTCTGCACCCAGACCAGAGACCAATCTGAGAGGGGGATGCCGCCCTCCCAGAAATTGTCAAATAGGCTTGTTCGACACCTTCTGGCTTGGACCGCTTCTCAGTCTGAGGACCCCCTTAGAATGAGTTGGTTTTGCAGAACGTGAGATAATAGAGATAAAACAGATTAATTAGGGAAGGCAATATGTTTTGTAAGAGATTCTTTTAGCCTATTGGTGCATTTCATTTATCCTCGGAGTTATCCAGCATTTTCCTGGGACTATTTAGAAATGCTGGTGGTGTGTAGGCAGGAGCTGTTGGAGGGCAGGCACCATTTTTTGTTCATCTTTTGTCCACAGTACCTAGCTCAGTGTCTGGAACACCGAGACCTCAATAAATATTTGCTGAAGCAAGCTGACTCTAAGGACTAAAGGACTGGCCTAGATTGTGGCTCCTTGATTAAATACTTGAACATGCTAATACTCACAGATTCATTAGCAGACCTGTTATTTCCTCTGGCTGCAGTCCTTAGGATGGATTCAAATGTTACAGTGATTCATAAAACAGCTATTTATAGCCATAACAGCTATGAAAAGAGTGAGGCTGTTTTACGGATGAAGCTGCCCATGGATTCACGCCTGGTTATTGGGTCTTCATATCTAAATGGTAATTCTAGAATCCATTGTTCACCTTGTCTTCAGATTCTATAGTAATTTCCCAAGTAAGTACGTTCCTTGGCATGCAGGGAGACAGTGACTAGGCCTCTATGACAAGGAGCTACCAATGCTTACAGTCATAGTTATGTACCTGAAATAGTCATTAATCATATTATTAATTGGGTATTAGGCTTAATACCTGGGTGATGAAATAATCTGTCAACAAACCCCTGTGACACGAGTTTACCAATATAACAAACCTTCACATGTATCTCTGAGCCTAAAATAAAAGTTAAAAAATATATATGAGTTGGCTGGGCTTGGCAGCTCTTGCCTGTAATCCCAGCGCTTTGGGAGGCCGAGGCAGGTGGATCACGAGGTCAGGAGTTCAAGACTAGCCTGGCCAAGATGGTGAAATCCCATCTCTAGTAAAAATACAAAAAAATTAACCAGGTGTGGTGGTGGGCACCTGTAGTCCCAGCTACTCAGAGTCGGCTACCCAGCTTCTCAGACTGAGGCAGAGAATTGCTTGAACCTAGGAGGCGGAGGTTGCAGTGACCTGAGATTGCACCACTGCACTCCAGCCTGGACAACAGAGTGAGACTCCATCTCAAAAAAAAAAAAAAAAAAAGATATATATGTATATGAGTTATACTCTAAAATTATTATTAAAAATAATAATATTAATACTAATTATTATTTCTTAAGTGCCTCATATATGCCAGGCCCTATAATAGGTACTTTATATACTTTATAACTAACCTCTACATGGAAATTATCATGTAAGCATCATTATCCCTATTTTACTGGTGAGCATTCGGTGAAAACCAGGGCTCCTCATTTTTTGACAGGTTGGGTTTAGAAAAGTGCCTTAGTTACCTTCTTGTCTAAAGTATATACATTACCTGAATCTTTCTACATCTTTTTCTTTCTTTAAAAGAATGAATTATTAGCTAGGCATGCTGCTTACAACTGTAATCCCAGCACTTTAGGAGGCTGAGGTGGGAGGGAGGATGGCTTGAGGCCAGGAGTTCAAGACCAGCCTGGGCAACACAGCAAGACCCCATTTCTATTTAAAACAAATTACAAAAAAAAAAAAAAAAGAATTGTTTTCATAAAGCCACATCCACTCCATTAAGCTAACAATCATCTTCCCTAATCCTCCTCCTAGGAAAATATTTTAAAACTTTTTTCCTTTTAGATTTACTTGTCATGGATTGGTGACTGGTCAGAGTTATATTTTCCGGGTCAGAGCAGTCAATGCAGCTGGACTTAGTGAATATTCCCAGGATTCAGAAGCTATTGAAGTCAAAGCTGCTATTGGTAAGTTCCTTACGCATAACTGTATGGGGGAAAAATTGATTTTTCTATGTTAGAAAGGAAGATACTATCATCTCCAGAAATTATTTAGCTTCCAATATTGCTGGATGATTGCATCCTTAGATGATCATTTTCTCTGACTCTAAGTGATGTCTAACCTTCCATAGCTGTCATTTTACAGACCTTCATCACTTATCCAGATTCTGTGCATCCGTAGCCTTTTCATCTTCACGAGCCCAAGTTTCCTCAGATATTTCCCATTGTGTGAAACTCCATTCTAACTTCGTGCTCATCCTGGGACTGTGAAGGGCCATCCCAATTCCATGAAGTGGTATATCACCCATAACACAGATCATCTTGTCCCTAAAAGCCATTTGGTCTATGCCAGAGCCTGGCTTGTTTTTGCTAACAGAACATTAACATGCTTCTTATAAACCCCTCTGAAATTCATGCAAGGCACATGTAATTGCTTAATCATATGTTTCATCTCTGCTTGCAAAGTAACCAACGGAATAAAGCAAGTAATAAAGTAATTATATGTGTGTATGTGATGTACCTCCCAATCTTGGATAAAGTAGAAAAGGGACCCAGGTGATTAGAAACAATAAAAATAATATTTGTGGGTGAGCACAGGGGCTTACACCTGTAATCCCAGCACTTTGGGAGGAAGATGCAGGCAGACCGCTTGAGTCCAGGAGTTTGAGACCAGCCTGGGCAACATAGTGAGATCCCGTTTCTAAAAATAAAAATAAAAATAAATTAGCCAGGCATGATGGTGCATGTTTGTAGTCCCAGCTATTCAGAAGGCTGAGGCAGTTGGATCACTTGAGTCCCAGAGTTCAAGGCAGCAGTGAACTATGATCTCACCACTGCACCCCACCCTGGACAACAAAGCAAGATCCTGTGTCTGAAATAAATACATAAATAAAATAAAATGTTTGTATAGTAACACATGTTTTTTAAAAAGATGATTTAATATTGATTGTCTTCAGTTAGCATCTCATATTACTTTTTCATATTCCTTATAACATAGAGGTCAGGCACAGTGGCTCACCCCTGTAATCCCAGCATTTTGGGAGGCTGAGGTGGGTGGATCACTTGAGGTCAGGAGTTTGAGACCAACCTGGCCAACATGGTGAAACCCTGTCTCTACTGAAAATACAAAAATTAGCCAGGTGTGGTGGTGCATGCCTATAATCCCAGCTACTTAGGAGGCTGAGGCACGAAAATTGCTTGAACCCAGAAGGTGGAGGTTGCAGTGAGCCGAGATTGCACCAGTGCACTCCAGCCTGGGGGACAGAGTGAGACTCCATCAAAAAAAAAAAAAAAAAAAAAAAAAAAGAAGAAGAAAAAGAAGAAAAAAAAGTAAGGAAGATTCCTTATAATGTGAACCATTGTAAACATGTCTCTTTGAGGTTGGGAGGTACAGACCATTACTACTGTAATACTGCACATAATTTGAAGTGTTATAAAATCAGGATCTTTAATATTATGTCTCTTGTGCACTTTATCGTCGTTTTTTCATTCTGTTGAATAATAGGGCTTATATCTCTCAAGAAATGTCTAAGATTTGCTTTTCCTTATATATACTAAAAACCCTTTGGGTTGTGCAAATTGAAATGGTTCCTATTCTATCTGTGGCTTTTTTGTTCTCATTTCTTCTTTTTCCAGAATATGGAGAAGTTGAAATGTTCTTTGGTGTACATTCTGTGAAATGTAGTCTTTCATATTTCTTGCAAATGCGAGCAATTTTCTTTAAGCCAAGATTGTTTTTGTTCTGCTTGTGGTCCTAATGTTTTTTTTCTTTGTTCTATCCCATAAGAGCAACTGATACTCTGTCCAGGCTCAATGCGTTTCTGTTGTCTGGCAATTGTAGGGGGAGGAGTGTCTCCAGATGTGTGTCCCGCACTGAGCGATGAGCCTGGTGGACTAACCGCCTCCAGGGGGCGCGTGCATGAAGCCTCCCCGCCAACCTTCCAGAAAGATGCTTTGCTTGGTAGCAAACCTAACAAACCTTCACTACCCAGTAGCTCTCAAAACCTGGGCCAAACAGAAGTGAGTAAAGTAAGTGAAACAGTTCAGGAAGAGCTTACCCCACCACCACAGAAAGCGGCTCCTCAGGGGAAAAGTAAGTCTGACCCCCTGAAAAAGAAGACAGACAGAGGTGAGAGTTGAGAAAGTGAAGCTGTTCCATCCGTCTCCATCAATGACCTCACCTCTCATCGTCTACATCACATCCTTCATCCATGTTTGCTTTCATTAGTGTCCATTCTTATTGTATGTGTTTTCAGCTAGCCATCTGAAATGCGTACTTTAATCTGATGACAGGGAAAAGTAATTGTCTATGGGTTTGGCTTTTACACATCATTTTGGGTGCTTAATGATGCTAGAATGTTTCCAGTAGTTTGGTTATAGAGCCTTTCTTGGTTTGTCAGAAAAATACACCTCTGGCCTCATTTTGCTAAGAGAATGAGATATGAGAGCAGGAAGTTCTTGGTACTGCTAGCCTGTGTGAGGTCCTTTGAAATAGTCATGTTTGGAACACGTAGAGGAGAAAGATCTCACAAAGAAGGTGACATCGTACCAGGGTCATAGTTGTTACCTTCTTGCTCATCCTCAGGTTATTAAGCGGTTATTCACATTTAACTTAAATAGTTTGCAAGAAAAATCAACACTGGAAAATTAATTTTTTAAGTAAAAAAGTATATAAAAAGGGTTAAAAATTCTAAAATAATAATAATTTAAATAGCTACTTACTACTTTTTGAAATGAAAAAAGAAAAGAAAAACATAGCTATAAATATATCTTTGAGTGACCATGAAAAGTTTAAAAGTTAAAATTATAACCACATATAGCTATACTGTTTGATATATGATCCTCATTCCCAGAAGTGATTTATTGAAGACAATCTATCAGTAGGCTAAGAATGATCCGATTAGGATATTTGGTACCTGTGACTAATATATCCTAGAAGATATTGTTTTTCCTATCAAATAAAAATGAACTGATGAGCATGTGGTGATAAATTTTTAAATGCTTCTCATCTATTTCTTTTTTCTACCCCACCCCAACTTCTATAACCTCCTCTATTTTATGACACCTTTCTTTGTCCCTCAACTCGAGAGGAGATATTCATTTGAGAGCACATATTCAACAGTGCTCTGAAATAGAGGGAGAGAGAGAAAGCTTTTTTTAAATGTAAAGAATAGAAGGAGGCTGGTAAGTGGAGATGAGATAAATGTATTTTATTTTAAAAGCCTTCTTTCTTCTGATACTCTTTTTGGATAAGAATGAGATAGTTGCTTTATCTCCTGTAATCCAAATAAATATTCAGAAAATTCTCTTTGATGTTATTGCATTTCTAGATGGATTTCTTTCCACCACTTCACCCCCTCTCTTCACGGAAACTGTAATTTCAGTAGTTGAGTGAAAAGCTGATCAGCAAAGCCACATAAATGAAGGAGGACTTTTGAAATATCCTCCAAATATTTTTCTAGCGAAGCACTGGTAAATATGGTGACAGCTGTGTAGCATTGTACCACATGAAAAATACTCCAACATCAGATTAAAAATAATGTGACAAAAGTATTACACACTAAGAGAAAGTCACATAGCAGATTGTGCCTGTTTTTTTAAAATGTTTTCCAAAGGTGTCATTTAGCTGAGCTCTAAAGTCAGTTTTTCTTGTGTGTAGACAGAGCCGTGTAGTTGTAAGGTCTCACAAGGGTAAGCGTGCCTGAATGGTGAAATGCTAACCATTTGAGAAATATATGGAAATTCTGGGCCAGGTGTGGTGGCTCACGCCTGTAATCCCAGCACTTTGGGAGGCTGAGGTGGGTGGATCACCTAAGGTCAGGAGTTTGAGACCAGCCTAGCCAACATGGTGAAACCCTGCCTTTACTAATAATACAAAAATTAGCCAGGCATGGTGGTGCACACCTATAATCCCAGCTACTCGGGAGGCTGAGGCAGGAGAATCGCTTGAACCCGGGAGATGGAAGTTGCAGTGAGCCAAGATGGTGCCATTGCACCCCAGCCTGGGTGACAAGAGTGAAACCCCGTCTCAAAAAAAAAAAGATATGTGTGTGTATATTATATATATACACACACATATATGGAAATTCTGAATAAGCAAATTGCAGCAGAAATTGATATATACATTCCATTTTCCTCAGAGAACAAATAAAACTAAACCACATAAAGAAACAAAAATTAAACCTTGGGAAAAATATTTCTACTTATGAGGAAAAGAATCATTTTCTTTCAGGGTATTGTACCATTTTGCTAGGACAGGTTCATTTTATCTTTGGAATAATGATTGTAGTGTACTTTTTACTGTGTCCATTGCATACACCAAGTCGAATGTCAAGTTAATGATCAGCTTTATACTGCAAGATCTAGTGCCCTCATATGTGGCATCAACGGAAATGTGTATATATAGAATCATAAATGCATTTCTGCCTACTCACAAGCTATTCATATTGCCACAGCACCACCATCTCCACCCCATGATATCACCTGTCTTGAAAGTTTTCGTGACTCAATGGTTCTTGGATGGAAGCAACCTGATAAGATTGGAGGGGCAGAAATTACTGGCTATTATGTGAACTATCGCGAGGTCATTGATGGGGTACCAGGAAAATGGAGAGAAGCCAATGTCAAGGCTGTCAGTGAGGAGGCATACAAGGTAAGCACGCGACTTTCTGTAGCGTGGTGTGTCCTATGTATGACGCTATGCTTGCACGCCCAGGCACGCACACACCCAGCACCTTGTAAGAGACTCACGTCATTTCTCCAGAGTCCACTGTCTGCAGTGGCATGAGTTTTGTGAAAAATATACTGTGGTGAATACAAGTAGTTTGGCTAACCAGGCAGGATTTATATTTCCTGATTCATACACATAAGCATAATAATTTCCTAGAATATTTACTATGAAATGTGCGCTTACTGTACAAACTAATTTTTTTTTCAAAACTTACGAAGTATCTACAATTAATATGCCACTAGCCTCAAGAGTCCCAGGATCCTTCCAAAGCCCTCAAGTTGAGGAAAAAAAAAAAAAGAGTCTCAGGATTTAATGACACTCTGGATTTTTAACTTACTTTCTTTTTTTTTTTTTTCCCTTTTTCTTTTTTTTTTCCCTTTTTCTCTTTTATTTATTTATTTTTTTTGAGATGGAGTCTTGCTCTGTCACCCAAGCCGGAATGCAGGAGCGTGATCTCAACTCACCGCAACCTCCACCTCCCAGGTTCAAGCGATTCTCCTGCCTCAGCCTACCAAATGCTGGGATTACAAGTGAAAGCCACCATGCTCAGCTAATTTTTCTATTTTCAGTAGAGACAGGGTTTCACCATGTTGGCCAGGCTGGTCTCAAACTCCTGGCCTGAAGTGATCCATTCACCTCAGCCTCCCAAAGTGCTGGGATTGCAGGCATGAGCCACCGTGGCCAGCTGGGTTTTTAACTTTCAATGTCCAAATTACAGAAGATGAAGGGATATGGGCTTGATGGCCAGACTCAGCTCACCACCTGTGAAGTGGCCTTTGTTATAATCACTTGATGGCCACAAAGGGTGGCCTCACATGTGTTCTCCTCTACATGGGGGCCTCCACTGCTCAGGTCACATAAGGGAACCAGAACAGTCTCACTGTTGCTTTGGCTGATGATTTTCTTCTCTAGAACTTCATCAGCTACATCCAAGCTACCACCTCTTAACACTCTCAGAATCCCGTGCCATGAGGGTTCAGAGCAGGGTGAGGCCAGGGATGACACTTGCCCCAACTCAACACCTTGCTCTTTCAATTTAACATTTGAAATTTATGAAATATCATACACATGCTGAGAATACATAAAACAAAATTGCATTTTTTTTTTTTTTTTTTTGAGATGGAGTTTCGCTCCTGGCCTCAAGTGATCTGCCCACCTCGGTCTCCCAAAATGCTAGGATTACAAGCATCAGCCACTGCGCTTATACAAAATTGTATTTTTAAGATTCTTCCCTGTTAGTGCAAGTGACTATAACTCATTCTTTTTCATTACTGTGTGGTATAGTATTCCATTATGTGGTCATATCACAATATAGTCTTTCATTCAATTCTTATTGCTATTTGGGTATTTTTGCATTTTTAGCTACATCAAGCAACGTAGCTATGAACATTTTTGTGTACATCTATCTGCTGGTACATAAGTGCACCAGTTTCTCTAGGTGATCACTTAAATGTCGAATGGCTGGGTTGGGGGGTCTGTTTATCTTCCTCTTTACTGGATAATTCCATACTGTCTTCTGAAGAGTGTGTGAGAATTCCCACCGCTCTGCATCCGTGCCAACACTTGGTCTAGTCACACATTTTCAGCTTTGACAGTCTGAGTGTCAAATGAGTTTGAACATCTTTTCCTATGTACACAGTCCATTTTGATATCCTCTTTTATGCCTGTTCAAGGTTTTTGCCCATTTTTCTGATGCCTTCTTGTTGACTTGCAAAGTTCTTTACATGTTATGAATAGAAATCCTTTGCAGGATTTCTTACACTCTGTAAGTCGCACACATCTTCTCCGACTTTAATTTTAACATCAAATTCATTGTAGTCAGATTTACTAACATTTGCTTTGTCCTTAGTGATTTTTGTGCCTTTTTGATGAAATGCCTTCTGTATTCCAAGATCGTGGAAATACTATAGTTGATTATATTCTAAAAGGTATACTATTTTGCCACTTACATTTCTGTCATTAATTCACCTTTATATTTGTATATGCTGTGAGTTAAGCATCAAAATTAATCCCCCCCACAGAGACATATTTGTCCCAGCATCATCTATTGAAAAGTTTGTCATCTGCCTGCTATTCTGCCAGGCTATCTGTATCATATATCATTTCCTTATATGCATGAGTCTGTGTTTGTACTTCCCATGCTGTTCAACTGGTCTGTTTGTCTAACAGCGGGTGAATACCACACTGATTTGGATATTATAGCTTTATAGGCCAGGCATGGTGGCTCACACCCGTAGTCCCAGTACTTTGGGAGGCCAAACTGGGTGGATCGCTTGAGGTCAGGAGTTTGAGACCAGCCTGGCCAACATGGTGAAACCCTGTCTCTACTAAAAATACAAAAATTAGCAAGGAGTGGTGGCTCTCATGCGTAATCCCAGCTACTTTTATACCTTTTACTCAGGAGGCTGAGGCATGAGAATCACTTGAACCCAGGAGGTGGAGGTTGCAGTGAGCCGAGATCATGCCACTGCACTCCAGCCTTGATGACAGAGTGAGACCCTGTCTCAAAAAAACAAACAAACAAACAAAAAAAACACAAACAAACAAAAAAATTATAACTTTATAGTAAAGTTGATGATTGGTAGATCAGGGTCTCCCAGTTTATTCTTTTTCCAGAGCTACTCTTAGCCCTTTGCACTTGATATAAATTTAAGTATTAGGGTCCCAAGTTCTACCAAAAAGAATAATAATAATAATAATAATAATAATTAAGACAAAACAAAAGAAAGCAACAATAAAAAAAAGCTTACATTCAACCCAACTAAACCCATTAGAATTCTGACTGAGGATGCATTGAATCTATAAATAAATTAAGGAATAATTGGCATTTAAAAAATATTGAACCTTCTAATCCATGAACATGTTATTTTTCTTCATTTGTTTTGGTCTTCTTTCAAGCCTCTCACTAAAGTTTTACGATTCTTTACAGAGGTTTGTATATCATTTGTTATTTTTTAATAGAGATGATATATTTCCAGTATATTTTTATGTCGGTTTTTATTGCTAGTAAAGAGAAATATAACTTTTATATATTGATTTCACATATAATTATTATACATAGTCTTTTGTTAAATTTTTAAAATAATTTGAATGTTACCTTTAACTTCTCTTGGAGTCTCTCTATGTATAGTCATATCATGTGCAAATAGTGGCAGTTTACTTCTTCATTTCCAAATTTTATACCTTTCACTTCATTTTCTTACCTTACTTTCTGCATAGCGACTTTCGCACAACATTGAATAAAAGTCGTGATGCTGGGGGCATGATGGCTCACACCTGTAATCCCAGCACTTTGGGAGCCTGAGGTGGTGGATTGCTTCAACCCAGGAGTTCAAGACCAACCTGGGCAACATAGCAAGACACCGTCTCAAATTTTCTTTTTTTTTTTTCTTTTTTAAAGTGGTGATGTTGGTCATTCCGGGCTTGATAGTTATCTTAAAGGGAAATTTTTCAACATTTCACCATTAAATACTGTGTTGTGTGTTACAGGTGTTTTGTAGACATCTATTATCACTTAAAGGAAGTTTCCTTCTATTCCCAGTTTGCCAACAGTTAATTAAAATTATCAAAAACATTTTTTGGGACTATTGAGAAGATTATATATTTTTTCCCTTTTATTTTAATTTGGTATATTCTTGGAATTGTCTAATGTTAAAACAACCTTGCATTCCTGGAATAAACTAAATTTGGAGCCTATATATACTCTGTTTATATCACCTGGATTTTGTTTGCCAATTATCGTTTAGGATTTTTGCTTCTATGTTCATGAGTGAGATTATTCTGAGACTTGAATTAATTTAATACTGATATCTGACAAGGATACTACAGGAAGGAAAAAAATGCAGGATGATTTCCCTTTATTAAGATATAATTCACATACCATAAAATTCACTCATTTAAAATGTTGCTTTATGTATTTTGAAGTGATATTTTTAAATGGATACAAAGTGACTCTTTACCACTACTAATACATTTTACCTTAAAGTCTATATTGCCTGTTATTACTATAGATACGCTAGGGTTTTGGGGTGGGGTGATGTTTGCATGGCATGTAACTTTTCATCCTTTAACTTTCTTTCTGTAACTTTCTGCTTTACATGTGTCTCTTAAAAATAGCACGGAGTTAAATTTTGTGTTTTCCTCCCTAACAGTCTTTGTCATTTGTTTACTATTACTCATTACTTTTAAAAAAACATCTAATCATCTTATTTTGTGCTTTCTATTTGTCCTTTCTGTTCTGTTTCTTTCTCTCTTTTTTTTTTTTTGAGACAGTCTCGCTCTGGTGCTGAGGCTGGAGTGCAGTGGCATGATCTTGACTCACTGCAACCTCTACCTCCTAGGTTCAAGCAATTCTCATGCCTCAGCCTCCCGAGTAGCTGGAATTACAGGCATGTGCCATCACGCCTGGCTAATTTTTGTATTTTTAGAAGAAACGGGGTTTTACCATGTTGGCCAGGCTGGTCTCAAACTCCTGACCTCAAGTGATCCGCTCGCCTCAGCCTCCCAAAGTGCTGGGATTACAGGCATGAGCCACCACATCCGGCCTGTTCTGTGTTTCATTTTCTGTCCTTTTTTGATTATTTTTGACTCATTTTTAAAAATTATTCAATTTTTCCTTCTACACTACCTTAAAAATTATAGATTCTGAGTTTCTTTGGTTTTGGTGACTGTGCAACTTAAAGTCTGAAGTTTTTTCATTTGTTTTACCCTTATTTCAGAAACAGAAAGGCCTTTAAAACTTTACCCCTTTGCCTTTTTACCAACTCGTATGCTATTGTGTTTCTATGTGTCTGTGTTTTAATTCTTTCTAAAATCCAAACAGCAATGTTATTATTGTTTTATAGATTCAACTTACCAATATATTTACCATTTTATTTGCTTTCAATTAAGTGCTTTGAAGATGTAATTCCACCATCTTCTGGCCTATTGTTGCTGCTGACATTCAACTCTTGATCTGCTTGCTTATTTAAGGGTAACTTGCCTTTTTTCTTGGACAACTTTTGATATGTTCACTTTATCTTTGGTGTGCTGTACCTAAAATACTATGGGTCTAGATGTGGGTTTTTAAAAAATGTATCTACCCAGGATTTTAGGGGGAAGAGGATTTTTCATCTGTGGGTTAGATTTTTTGGAAGATCTTTCTAGAAAATTCTGTGTCTCCCAAAATATTGTTGCTCCCTCATTTTCTCTCTCTCTGTACTTCTCCCAAAACTAATTAAACATATGTTTGATGTTCTCACTCTATCTTCCATGTCTGTCAATCAACTTTTCTCTCTTTCCCATTTTTGAGTCTCTCTGCATCATGTGCTGTGTAATTTCTTCTGATTTTGTCAGTTTACAAACTCCGTCTTCTTTTTCATCTGATATTCTGTTGAAAATGTCTATTATTTTTTTCTTACTGTATTTTCCATCTCTTGTCGGTCATATTTTACATATTTTATAGTTTGTTGCTTCCTACAAATGTTTTTCACAGTAATATATTCCATCACTTCTATTTTGCAAATGTCTTAACATTTATTATTTTATCACATATATTTACCCTCAACAACCCAATTCCTACTGAGTGACACAAAAAATATTAGGTTACTCAGTAAAGAGCAGAAACATTACGATAACGTGAGCATTTTGATTCCCAGCTTAGAACTCGTTTACATTTCACCTGTACATGCCTTAGCTTTCTATTGCCACATAACAAATTACCACAGACTCGGTGGCTGAAAACAACCCACATTTGTTATATCGGTGTCCTTGAGTCAGGGGTCTGGGCACAGCGTCGCGGGGTCCTCTGCTCAGGATCTCACAGGGCTGCAATGCAGGTGTCTGCTGAGCCACATTCATGTTGAGTTCCTCTTCCAAGCCCACTCAGGTTGTTGGCAGAATTCAGTTCCCTGCAGCTGTAGAACTGACGCTTCCACTCCTAGATGCTGCCTTTCTCCAAATGTGAGTGGGTAGGCAGCTCTCAGTGTGACGTTTCCCTCCTCAAGGCCAGTGGCACCATGTTTTTATTTAGGAGGGACCCAAACCCCATTGTGAGAGTTCTTACCTGATGACATCAGGCCCATCCAGAACAATTTCCCTTTTGATTAACCTTGAATCAGCTGACTAGGGACCCTCATCTATAATACCTTTTCTCCTTTGCCATATAGGGTGACACAATCACAGGACTTGATCTCCCAATCCCTTTGCCACATTCTATTGTAGGCTACAAGGAGGTCACGGTTTCATCCACACCCAGGAGATTACAAAAGTGGTGTGACTCATTGATGGTCACCCTAAGATGTGTCTGACACAGAAGGTAAATAAATAAAATGTTCAACAAGTAGAAAAAAACAAACCTGGAACATTCACTGTCTGTGATGTTGTCAATGTTGCAGATTAGCAACTTGAAGGAAAACATGGTGTATCAGTTCCAAGTGGCAGCCATGAACATGGCTGGGCTGGGCGCGCCCTCTGCAGTAAGCGAATGCTTCAAGTGTGAAGAGTGGACCATCGCCGTCCCAGGTAAACCACAGACACCGTGCTTCCACACTGCACCTCAGAATTTCCTCCAAGAGAACCTACAACCTGGAACAAAATTCAAAGAACTATATGGTCAACATTTAAGGGAAAAGAATTCTCTTGGCCCCTCGTGTTTACCTAAAATATTTTAATGATAATATTAAATAATAGATAGCAATGTAAAACTGAGTATAAATTCTTTGTGCTTGTGTTCCAAGTAAATCCTAGAGCCCTCACCGCTCAGGCTGTGTGAGGAGTAGGATTAACAGAGGCAGCCGGATTGAGTGCAAATGAATGTTTAAAAGGAATTCCAATCTTTGCTTTTGCTTCTGAAAGGCCACTTAAAGGTCATCTAATTTATATCCCACACAAAATGTCTCAAACACGTCTCCCTGCACTTACTTGTTCTCATATATTGTCACGCTGCTGGGAAGATTCTCATTTATTAGCTCCCCAAAATCAATCCCTCCATACCCAAGCTACATGGCTTCTTGGGCTCTCCTCCCTCCTCCCAGCTCTTCATCATATCACACTGATAGATTTCATACACCTGTCTAGGGTTTAAGGCTGACCTCTCTCCGCTTGCCTCTCGGCACTGACTTTTCCAGCCCTTTCTCTCTACACGTTTTCCAAACTCTGAACCAAAAGAAAGTTCCCGGAACCTGGCAAATACTGTCCTTCAGAGGTCATCATAGGGAGTGGTTGGGTGGGCAGGGAAGAAAGTGGGAAGTGGGGCGAGGATGGGGGCGAGGGGGAACTTGCCTTGCTTATAACTCTTACAGAGGTATAAAGATGAAATAAAATAAAATAAAAATTGAATGCAAATTTACTAAGCCATTAAGATTTAAACTAGCAATAGTAAGGTATGTGGTGGGTGATTTTATGTCCCTGGTGCCACCCCCTTCCTGTGTTTGAAACCCTTTGCCCTTGAAGACCATCACGTTGCCTTTGCTGTCAGGTGTGAATCACAAGATTCCAAGAGAAACTCAAGAGCAGTTCAGGTGCTCTCTCGACTTCTGCAAATAGAGAGAGAGAAACACTTTGCTCTTTGCTTGTAGTTCCTTGAGGCCAGGTGGTATTTCTCAAGTCCTTTCTGCCACCTGCGTAAAGTGGGTCTGTTTTCAGATTCTTGCAATTCCTGAGTAAAGTGAAATGCAATTGACTAGAGACTAAGAAATTCCAAGCAGGCCTGTAGAAATTTTTTTTGATCGAAAGTGGTGTCGTTGGCTGGGTGCGGTGGCTCATTCCTGTAATCCCAGTGCTTTGGGAGGCTGAGGAGGCAGGGGGATTGCCTGGGCCCAGGGGTTCAAGACCAGGCTGGGCAACATAGTGAGGCCTCATCTCTTACAAAATGTTTTTTAATTAGCTGGGCACGATGGTGCATGCCTGTAGTCCCAGCTACTCAGAAGGCTGAGGCAGGAGGATTGCTTGAGCTCACGAGGTCAAGGCTGCAGTGAGCTGTGATCACACCACTGTGTTCCAACCTGGATAAGAGTAAGGCTCTCTCTTTAAAAAAAAAAAAAAAAAGTGATGCAGTTGACAGAAAAAAGGTTGCAGGTAAGTGCTCTCAACTTAGAGAAAAAATGAAGGGGGCAGCCCTCCACCATCCTGACATCCTGGCTTCTCTGTCCCATCCTTGACTTACTGAGTCGTATTAGGCAAGTCTCACTTCAAGAAAGCCCCTGTGGAAGGAAACAGTAAGAATGTTCTGTCATCCTGTCTGACAGATGCAAAAACTGACACTCAGCTTAAATGATGCCCAGAGGGTGACAGAGGTAACAAGTAGCATAATTAGGGTAGGAAACTAGGTCTGCTTGTCCCTAGACTATAGCTGCTAGGAAACGACAGAGCATAGTTCCTTGTCTGTAAGGCAGGGATACTGCTCCCAATCTAGACGCCTCCCTGGGTTCTAAGGATGACACAAGATCATGTTTATAAAAGCCCTTCGCAAAACAGAACATGCCACATTCGTGTGAGGTATTTGGCATTAATATTTAAATACAGCTTTATACAAAACATCGGAAGGCAAGCATGACGCATATTTGTGGCCATGAAACCAAGGTAAAGGGTCAAACAAATATTGAACTATCAATTACAAAACTCCAAAGCATGGCGTAACAGAGTATGTCCTTCTACAGGTTGACTTTCAGGCTACTGTGAGTCACTTCAGGTGATTTTGATTGGTTGACTAGATGTCAGTCATTATTAAAAAAAAAAAAGAGAAAGGAAAAAATAAATGAATTTTTCACCTGCATTGCAGCTGGTGGTCATGCACATGCAAAGATACAGGCAATCGCTTAGTAGTTCTGATTTGCCAAGAGTGTGAATAGCATTCATACAGGCCACATTCTGGCTTTCTCCCTGCAGAGGGTTATCAGGTGACTTGGCCTCGCTGTGCTTTCTGTTAATTGTGTTAAGGAAGAGAGAGATAAATGAATGTAAGGTACCTGGCAGTATTTAGTGCAGATGCAGGCCCGTGGGATTGATTATATTTACTTTGGTAAAAGGATTTTGTAAACCATAACCTATCATTTGTTTTTACCCATCTGCGGGCTGCGCATACTCTTTAGGGGGAAGATTTCCCTCCAATTGGGAGTGATGCTTTTTCCTTTGAAAGAGCCATTACTCCGTATATTCATATGCCATCAAATAGAGCTGCTTTCTTTATACTATTTGAGATTAAGGGGAAATTTTAGGCTGTCACTCAAAAATTGTCTGAAACGGGGGGCCAGATGTGGTGGCTCCCACCTGTAATCCCAACACTTTGGGAGGCTGAGGCAGAAGGACCACTTGAACCCAAGAGTTGAAGACCAGCCTGGTCAACACAGCGAGACCCTATCTCTACAAAAACTTAAAAAATTAGCCGGGTGTGGTGGTGCACACTTGTAGGTCCAGCTGCTCAGGAGGCTAAGGTGAGAGGATCCCTTGAGCCCAGGAGCTCGAGGTTACAGTGAGCTACCATCACACCACTGCCCTCCAGCCTGGGTAACAGGGCAAAACCCTGTCTCTAAAAATAAAAATTAAAAAATATGAATCTGCAGCTAAATCAAACTGTTTCAATAAAAGGTCTTTAAGACGAATGCAGGCCTGAGAACGGCCTGAAGGGAAGTTTTGGGTCCACCCTTTGAGAGGCACCTCAGAGTGGCCTTACCTGCCTACCACCCTTAAAGGGACTCGGTGGGCTGATGTAGAGCAGTGTGGAAACGACAGGAAATGACCACAGAATACTTATTTTCTTGGGAATGCTAAATTTTGAAAAAAGAACACCAGGGTTAGATTGGCTTTAAGACTTACAAGTAGTTCTAAATGTGTGGAGACTTGAGTTTTCTATGTTCTGATTTCTCCTCATTGGCTTCTCTCTCTCTCAGGACCACCGCACAGTCTCAAGTGTAGTGAAGTCAGGAAGGACTCCCTGGTTCTCCAGTGGAAGCCTCCAGTCCACTCGGGGCGGACTCCAGTCACTGGTTACTTCGTGGATGTGAAGGAGGCCAAGGCCAAAGAGGACCAGTGGCGAGGGCTCAATGAGGCGGCAATTAAAAACGTATACCTGAAGGTAAGCGGATGCTCAGTTCTAGAGCTTCCCTGAAAAAAAAAAAGGGGGGGAAATTGCTCTACTAATATTAACTTGAAAGTTAGCAAGATAAAACAGAATATCTCTGCTTTGATCTGTTTCATATACTGGGCTCCTGGTAAGATTCCATTGGCAGAGGTTGGGGCTGGGAGAAGTTTCTGATGCTTGCAACAGTTTGGTTATATTTAACCTGAATTCCTTAGCACAGCTTTGAAACGCACCCAACAGCTCCTTCCTCTCTCCTTTCTCTCCTTGCGTCAACTTACCCACTACACGTTTTTGTTACTCAGAGTCTTAAAACCTTACTGCTTACCATCCCCAAAAGGTGATTTTTTCATTCCTCTTTTTTCTGCGGGGATGGTTGATTTGAGGGTGCTGTTTTTATAAAGTTCACACCAGGAAGCCTGTGACTACTGGTCCTCTCAAGTCACTGCCGTCTCATGTTAGTTCCTCCCTCAGGCTGGTTCTCACATGAGCTCTCAGAGATTAGTGGAACAGGTTCGCTCACCCCCCTTATCCATGTCACTGCCTTTCAGGTTCCTCTAGTGTGCTCATTGAACCATTTCCTAACTCTGTCGACCAAACACTGTTCTGCCGTAGCCACCGAATCTCTCATTTGTACCGAAAGGAAATTTCGAAAGAACGTTTCCCCCTAGTGTTAGCAGTGGCACCTGGAGACCCTGACTCCCCAACAGGGCCTCTGAAACTGTAGGAAATATGATTGCATGACTTACTACTTAGAATGAAATGTGACTGACTTCACCACAGTCACTCAGGACGTTACACACTGCGTTTGCACCATCATATCTTTTGGCAGCAGAGGTCATTGCCTATAAGGTGAGCTTTGGAAGATATTCAAAGTGTACCTGGCCAAAAAGATCTCTCCCTGACCTGCTTCATGAACTAAGTCCCTTCCGTCTGTCAGCCACTCTCCAGGGTTAAGGTATTTCCAGCCACTCTAAACTATGTAAATATATCCTCCAGGAGATACAGCCCATAAACCATTACACCCAACATGCCGTTAACTCAACTTAGCATATGCCAATCAGCTCTCCAGCTTCTTGCAAAACTCTGAAGAGATAAGACAGGTCATCTTTTCATGAGGAAGAGAAAAGCTCAAGGAAGGACTGGAGCCTATGATGCTTTTGCTGTCAAGATGAGTCCAGAGGCCCCTGGATTCCAAGAAACCCCCAAAGTACAGTGTAAAATAAAGGTCGGGAACATCCTAGATGATGGTGGTAGGTGTATATGGCTGGAATGAAAATTTCCAAGTCTTCAATCTGCCACCATAGAGGATGCCAAGGGCCTGAGGTTTGAACTGACTCAGGTGAAGCAAAACAAAGGTGAAAAAGCAAGCAAAAAAAAAAAAAAAAAAAAAGAAGTAGAGTTTAAATGTGTCAAAGAATGGTTAATGTCACTCATTTTTAAAAAGAAAAAGAATAAAGGCAATTTTAAGAGAGAGAGAGAAAGAGACTGAGATCAAGTATGCCTAACAAACCTGGAAACGAACTTCCGTAAGAGGAGTTCTTACACTTTATCAACAGTTTTTCTAAAGTAAAAGTCATCTTTTTTATTTTTCTGATTATAAAACTAACAATTTGAATGAAAAATTCAAACATAAGAAGCACAAAGAAGAAAGTAGGCCAGGCACGGTGACTCACGCTTATAATCCCAGGGCTTTGGAGGCCAAGGCAGGCAAATCTGGGCTTGAGCACAGGAGTTCAAGACCAGCCTGGGAAACATGGCAAAACCCTGTCTATAAAAAAAATACAAAAAATTAACTGGCCGTGGTGGCATGTGCCTGTAGGCCCAGCTACTCAGGAGGCTGAGGTGGGAGGATTGCTTGAACCAGGGAGGCGAAAGCTGCAGTGAGCTGTGATTGCACCACTGCACTCCAGCCTGGGCAACAGAGCAAGACTCTGTCTCAAAAAAAAAAAAAAAAAAAAGGAAAATAGATCTGCATCGATGATCTTGATTACATATTTGTGGTGCTGTTGAGGCCAGTGGTCATGGAAGAGTGGAGAGTGCCCCTGTCACCCCAGGGACCAGACACTGGAATGTGAATATACTGCCTGTACATGTTGCAGAAATCTGACTCAGCCATATATCATCACCCAGGTGGCAGGTGCAGATGTGTCAGGTACCTGGTGATTACTCCATTTTTATTACAAGGAAATGTTTCTGTGTCGTTCTGGAAATCCACAGTTTCCTGACATTATTTCTAAACAGAGAATTTAAATATGTCAGACTCTATGCATTTAAGTTAAAGTTCATTTACAGAATAAAATCCATTTCAAAAATCCGTTAGTGCCAGTGAAGGCTATTACTACATAAATAGTGACATTCTGTTGTAAACACAATACAATTAGTTAGATTAAAAACCTAATAATTTAATATATACCTCATTTAAATACATGATCACAAACACTTCACCTAATTGAATGACTTTATTCTAACATTGTTCGATTTAAATCACATTTTGGATATTGGTCTCTATCACAACATTTTGGGGAAAAATTATGCCCTCTGTGTATAATAAATTCCATCTTAAAACATAACATAGCTTTTAAAAGTCACATGTTTTTAATTTTAAAATGTTGATAAAACATTAACAATATTGACAATAGAAATGAGATTGTTCAAAACCCTAAGAAAGTTACAAAAAATTAAGTGGGAAGCCAGGCATGGTGGCTCACTCCCGTGATCCCAACACTGTGGGAGGCTGAGGTGGGAGAATTGCTTGAGCCCAGGAGTTTGAGACCAGCCTGGGCAACATGGTGAAATCCCGTATCTATTAAATGTTTTTTTTTTTAGTTAGCCTGGTATACTGGCACATGCCTGTGGTCCCAACTACTCAGGAGGCTGAGGCCGGAGGACTGCTTGATCCCAAGAGGTCCAGGCTACAGTGAGCTGAGATTGTGCCACTGTACTCTAGCCTGAGCAACAGAGTGAAACTCTGTCTCAAAAATACATATGTATACACACACACACACACACATATACACACATATATACACACATAGATGTGTGTGTATATATATATCTGGCTCACAGCCATATGTCATCACCTAGGTGGCAGGTGCATATGTGTCAGGTACCTGGCGATTGCTCTATTTTTATTACAAGGAAATGTTTCTGTGTATATATATATATGTGTGTGTATATATATACATGAAGTGGGACTGTCATACAAAAATAAATTATAAATGCTTTTTTTTTTTTTTTTACAGCTCTTTGTAACTCTAGCTTAGTGGCACATATGTAGTGGATTCTCAGCACACATCTTGATTATTAAAAACTTGAGGATTTAGAATTTTAGTACACTTTGATTATTCACAAATTATTCAGACTCACAATTGTGTTAATTTCGTGTCTATTTAGTAAGAAATAACTATATTAAATATACAGGAACAATTATTGTTTTGGTTCTACTAGTTTAACATGCTTTTAAACAAATGGAAAGTGTTCGCGATTCATGCTTTTAATTCTCCTCTTTTGCCAAGAATTTCGTCTGAAATTATTCGTGGAATATCTCAAAAGGATCGGGGGATAAGGTGACATATGCTATAATAAGCACTTTGTATTTTGTCCTTTTTACCAAAGAATGCAGTGGCTAACGCATGTGACGCCTACGTACACTAGTCTGTTTCTGATGTTGGTAGCCACTAAATTAACTAAAACGGAGAAACATCAGTGTGAGAATGGATATTGGAAACTCCCCTCTATCTACAGATGGTCCAGAGAGCAGATTATCTGCAGCTAAAGTCACCTGCTTAGTGTTTGACAGAATCAAGTCTAGACCACAAGTCTTGTATACCTGGTGCTAGGTCACTAAATCATTACTACAGAGGAAAAGCCCCATCTGTTTAAATGACATAAAACAGCCACTGCTTCATCAAACACCCATTGCTTCTACACCTGCTTCTACCAGGTTCGAGGCCTCAAGGAGGGCGTCAGCTACGTGTTCCGTGTTCGAGCCATAAACCAGGCGGGAGTTGGGAAGCCGTCTGACCTTGCTGGCCCTGTTGTGGCAGAGACCCGTCCAGGTAGGCTTTCACCTTTTCATTAAAACTAATCCTATTTGTGTGAGATACTGGACTAAGGTTTGGCCTTTCTGTGCTTTCCCCTAATTTTCAAAATCATCCATGTGTACTATCTGAATGTAATGATCTTAGAACATGACAGTCATTTGTCCCATCACAGGCACCTCGGGACAGGGTTGAGCCAGGTTTGATGTGGTCTAGGGGCTGTTCTGATGCACATCTAAAAACACGGAAGTTCTTGATCCAGTTAGGCTTCCTGGACCAACTGTTCCACGCATTCATTCCTGGAATGTTACTCCTATTACACGCTGGCCATTAAGTCTCCTAAGAATATTTTCCCAATCGTAGGGGAAGCTAGAGCAGCCCAGTTAGTGGGCACAATCCTTAAACAAAAGTAGGATTTATGTCATTGTGGCTATTATGTTTAAACCAGAGGTCAGCAAACTTTTTCCGTGGAGGACCAGGTAATATTTCTCACTCGAAAGCCCTGTGGGCTCTGTCGCCACTTCTTAACTCTGCCACGACACAAAAGAAGCCATTGAGGACACACAAACAAATGAGCATGACTGTGTTCTAATAAAACTTTATCATGCCCATTATATGCATTATATAATATGATGTGCTATATGCATTCTAAAATTTCAATCTTGTATAATTTTCCTGTGTTTTAAAATAGTAATCTTCTTTCAAGTTTTTCAACTATTTAAAAATATAAAAACCATTCTTAGCTTGAAGCCCTTACAAAAAGAGGTAATGGGCCAGATTCAGCCCACGGGCCATAGGCTAAACTGGGTTAATCTAACAGTGGTCCCAACTGAATGGTTTATAGGTTCGAGGCAGCCCTCATTTCCCAGTTTCAAAGATGCCATGATTACTAGAGAAGATAGTCTTGCCCTTTCTTATGAGAACAAAGTGTGCTGTGTTCGTTGTCCAACTAGTTTCAGATCATTATATAATGATTTTTTTTATCATTTAACCTGTAAGCTATCATATATTTCAGTTCATTAAAGTTGCGTAAAGGAAAGCACCAGAGGCCAGGCACTGTGGCTCGCGTCTGTAATCCCAACACTTTGGGCAGCTGAGGCAAGAGGAGTTCGAGACCAGCCTGGGCAACTTGGCAAAACCCCACCTCTACAAAATTTTAAAATTAGCTAGATGTGGTGGTGAGTGCCTGTAGTCCCAGCTACTTGGGAGGCTGAGGTGGGAGGATCACTTGGGCCTAGGAGGTCAAGACTGCAGGGTGTCATGTTTTCACTGCATTCTAGCATGGGCAACAGAGTGAGACCCTGTCTCAAAAAAAAAAAAAAAAACCAGCACTGGAAATGAGAGATAATAAAGTATGTCACTTTGAAGACTCGGAAGGGTAAGGGCTGAGGGTGGTGTGGATGATGAAAAATTACGTACTGGGTACCATGTGCATTTTTGGGGGGTGATGGATACCCTAAAAGCCATGAGTTAACCACTATTCCATCTGGGCATGTAATGGAATTGCATATATGCCCTATAAATTTGTACAAGTTTTTAAATCACCCAATTATATTAAATTTATATTCATTCTAGTACAAGCACTTTTGCTTTAATCTGTCCCTGTTTTCAGGCTGAAATAAACAAGAACAGATACAGAATGTAATGTTTATTTTTCTGATGAGAAAAGAATGTAAATATAAAAAACTACTTTCACTGCGTATTACTTCAAAAGAATATAAAATGAGTCCTTTGAGAAAATATCTTTCCGTTTCATCCTATTTCTTCATAAGCTGTTTTCAGCTAGTCTTAGAACTACTCTCTGGACATGGGTCTGACAAAAGTGGCCTTCTTAGACAAAAGCGTGGCAGGTGTAAGAAGTACCACACTGCATGTAAATAACTTTTGCAAAATTTCATGAGAAAACAGAAAAATGCTAGGAACGTATACACCAGGTAAAAGGTAACACACAAAGACACCAGAACACATATTCCTATAGAACTCAAACCCTTCAGCTGACAATTGTGTGGATAGTAAAGGGGCCAAATGGACATCTCCAAGGACCCAAGGGCAGAGTTTGCTCTCGGAACAACGTAGATTGCTACACAAGTAAACTCTTAATCTAGTCAGGGCTATATCCAAAGCACCCTGGAAGCCATGGGTTCCAAATCTGATTGTTAAAAGAATTTAAATCAATTTCTTATTTTCTCATCTATAGCCTCAGAAAGGCAGGTGATGGGCATGACATTAACAGAGCCATCACTAGGGAAATTTTGCCACCAGAAAAGGATCTGCTGGTGATCTCCTGGGTGAGAGTTTTGTTTCACTGACTTGGATTAAGGAACCAAAAGTCATTTGCATGCCATTCCATTCCCAGACTCGAACTACAGACAGCTGCAACACTGGTACGCTAAGCAGCACCCTGTTAACCCCTGGACAAACCACAGCTTAGAGAAGAACGCTGGATACACAAAGGCCAAATGCTTTCCTGTGAAACAGCACCAAAATCCCGTGACATCTGAGCCTGTTTTATATGCAGTAGGCACACACTCATTATTGTCACATGTATTTCTTGAGCTCCTACTGTGTCAGGTGCCATTTGGGTCCCAGGAATAATATGACATCATCACTGCACACTGGGCTTGCAATCTAATGGAAAAGACAGCATTTACAGCACAGGATGATGAGAGCTAGGAGAGGTGCTCATAAAAGATTTCTATAGCTGAATAGGCTATAAACTAGGTAGCAAGGTTTTATAAGTCCCTATAAAAGCTTTATACATAGCCTAAAATTTTCTGTATGTATGTATTCATTCTATTAGATATCAACATATTACTTTTACCCACTTTATTTCTTTTATGTTAGAATACATGGCAGGGGAGCATGTTATCAACTTCAAGATTTGGGATGTGAAACTTGGATTGCTATTTCAGAAGAAAAAGTTTTGGAGGGATGCATTGTTAAAATTTCAGTTAGAAAACAAAGCTTATCTTGTAATAGCAAACCACAAATACATCTAACAAGATACTTTAAGTGTAATTTGAATTCCACTTTAAAAGTTAACTTAATCTCCTGGGGTTGGTAGGATCACCGGTCTCCCTTTGAAGTCAAAGAATACGTTGCAAGTGGATGTATTCTTGTCTATTTGTGCTGGGAGTAAGAATCCAGATAATGAACTAAGTGTGTCATGCTTTACCAAGAAATCCATTAGCTAAAAAAGTCTGTAAAAGAATGGAATAAAACATACTTAATGTGGAGGGGTTGGCACATAAAAAAGGATGGTCTCTCCTTGATAATAGATATTTTAGAAACAGCAGCTGCGGCTGATTGCATCAGGCCTGGGGTGGAGGTGAAGGCCAGGTGAGCCAGATCAGATGGAAGACAAGAGAGAGAGCTGCCAAAGCCTGGAAGGTGATCTGGAGGGCACCATCGCTGGCAGTACAGACCGCAGGTATTCTTACCAGAGAAACCAAGCAGCGGGCAGGAGAATCAGGTGGTGGACTGGGTCCCAAGCAAAAACTGGATGATGGAAGTTAGCTTGGTCACAAGGAGCAAGGCAGGTTAGGAGAAAGCATTACCAGAAGGAATGATGAGTTGAGATTGAGTTGATAACCTATTAAGCAAGAGCTCGTTACAGTCCCAGTGTCTAAACACTGGTTGGTTCCGGAGCCTGCCAGGAATGAGAAGGCAAATGTGTGCTCAGTGGTCAAGTGGTGGCGTCACGAAGTGAAGGATTCTAAAGCAGGAAGCCAGACTAACTTTAAAAGATGAGCTCAGCTGGCTCATTGGAGAACTGCGCTTGTCAGGTGCGGTGGCTCACACCTGTAATCCCAACACTTTGGGAGCCCGAGGCGGGTGGATCATGAGGTCAGGAGTTCAAGACCAGCCTGGCCGAGATGGTGAAACCCTGTCTCTACTAAAAATACAAAACAAAATAGCGGGGTGTGGTGGTGTGCACCTGTCATCCTAGCTACTCCGGAGACTGAGGCAGGAAAATCGCGTGAACCCAGGAGGCAGAGGTTGCAATAAGCCGAGATTGTGCCATTGCACTCCATCCCAGGCGACAGTGTGAGACTCAGTCTCAGAAAACTCAAAAAAGGAAGGAAGGAAGGAAGGAAGGGAAAAAGAGAGAGAGAGAGAAAGATTAAAAAAAGAAAACTGCACTTGTATTTGCTCGCTAACTGATCTCTTTCATCTGCTAGGACCATAGTTCTCAACCTTGCTTGTACATTAGAATCATATGAGGAACGTTTTCAAAATACTGGTATCCAGACTCAACTCCAGACCAATTAAATCAGGATCTTTAGGGCTGATGGGATGATGACAGAAGATCAGATATTCTTAAAAAAAAAAAAAAAAAAAAAAAGAATCTTAGGCTGGGTACCTGAACACAGACTCATTGCTGTTTGTTCGTTTACTTAGCAATTTGGGTAATTCCAGTGTGAAAACAGGCTTGTGAACTGTACATTAGACCACAGCTCCTCAACGTAGGAACTGCATCTTTTCTGTACATGTGCTGAGAGTCTAACATAGTACCAGGTATATAGTAGCTAATTTATTAAATGAAAAAATAATGAATAAGTAGCATATTTGCCAGTGAGTGTGACTCTGTCTTGAAGCCTCAGTGTGTGCACTTCACCCTAACCGTCTTGTTCTGCCTGCCCTGGTTATGATGGGTGAGCTGGGAAAGAAATGTCTGGTGGAGGCTCCAATGTGGGCATGAGGCTGAGTGGTCAGCGTCCGGTCCTCATCTGAAACCCAGGGCAGCTCAGTACTACACGTGACCAATTACATTAACTCACTTTCCTCTGCTTCTATTCTGTCCCGCTCTTCAGTTTTTTAAACATCACCACACACACACCATGGAGAACAAATAATTAAAGCTTATAAAAGTGATATATTCATGCTCATGTAAAATACTTTATATGAGAAAGAATTATCATATCAGATTACAAAATGTGTAGGAAGGTTAACAGTTTACTGTGATTTTATTTAAGCTTTTAAATTTTATTCTTTATTATCATTTTTTTGCAAGGAGG